TTTAAGATATTTAAGATATTAAAGATATTGTGTTAAAGACGGCCTTGTAAAGGTCATCCTTGATGTCATTGATAGTATTGTGTCAAGGGGGGTAATCACTTTATCTAGATTCTGCCGTGTCAGGCAAGGGTTGATCTCCCTCGCAGTTTATCAAAAGGTCACAATCTGCGAGGGAGATTGCCTTTAGTGACAGAAGCCAATGAAAGACAACAAACAACAAACAGAAATATTGATTTGGATCTGCAAGAGTTTGCTGTTAGCTGCTGAAGCCTGGCTGTAATTAAAAAGCAGTTGATAACATGACACAATTTACTCTCCTGTTCTCTCATCTCAGCTTAACTACTTTATATATTAAACAAAAAAAAAACATGTATTGATGAGCACTCATAGAATGTACCTGGTTGGTCTCATGTCTTAGTCCACTTGTTCCTGCAGTGAGGCACTGTAGTCAGTTGGAAATGATAGGTTTGATATCTGGAATGGTGACTATAGTTTTCAATTACTATGTTGTCTAATGTGTCCTTCTATCTGTCTATGAGTGCTGATCAATGCTTGTCTATTTGTTGAATATAATGTTTCTGCAACCTCAAAGATTCCTCGTCCATTTTTGAGCTTGAATAATCCAATCAACTGTGACTGAAGGGCTTAACAAAAGAGGGGAAAAGAACAACAGGCACAAAACAGACAAAACGATGTTTTGGATTAAGCCTTTCTCGACATTAACGACACAATGATGTAATCATAGTGGTTGTGCTTACTTCCTTCTTGAAACAACACTTGTTCAATAAAATAAAGACAGAGGACAGAGGATAAGTGCAGCTGCTGGAGATGGCACTCAGGAGATTCCCATAAGTGTTCTGTCCCAGTCTTCAGCAGCATGCGAAGAGTTCCAGTTCTAGTGGTACCATGAGAAAAGTCTGACTGTATATCCGTGGCACCTTTTCCTTGAACACTGACTGTATATCCGTGGCACCTTTTCCTTGAACACTGACTGTATATCCGTGGCACCTTTTCCTTAAACACTGACTGTATATCCGTCACACCTTTTCCTTAAACACTGACTGTATATCCGTCACACCTTTTCCTTGAACACTGCCTGTATATCCGTGGCACCTTTTCCTTGAACACTGACTGTATATCCGTGGCACCTTTTCCTTGAACACTGACTGTATATCCGTGGCACCTTTTCCTTGAACACTGACTGTATATCCGTGGCACCTTTTCCTTGTACACTGACTGTATATCCGTGGCACCTTTTCCTTGAACACTGACTGTCGGCCAGATCCCCAGGTCACTCCTCACAGCACTATTACCCTCAGACCATGGTGATCTGCACTGTTCACTCCCCCCCCCCCCCCCCCATAGTGCCCATACAACATCTACCTTGTCCTGCATTAATTCACCACCAAGCTGTGCACAACCAGCCAGTCTATCTGCCTGCTGATTCCCTAATGCATCAGCATTCAGATACAAGAGAGATGTAACAGACAGGTACAGGAGGGATCTAACAGACAGATACAGGAGAGATCTAACAGACAGATATATGATTCAGGCGGTCCCAGTACACAGTCTTTAATAGTTGCTTAGAGAGATAGGTACAGGAAAGATCTAACAGACAGGTACAGGAGGGATCTAACAGACAGATACAGGAGAGATCTAACAGACAGATACAGGAGAGATCTAACAGACAGATACAGGAGGGATCTAACAGACAGGTACAGGAGGGATCTAACAGACAGATACAGGAGGGATCTAACAGACAGATACAGGAGAGATCTAACAGACAGGTACAGGAGAGATCTAACAGACAGGTACAGGAAAGATCTAACAGACAGGTACAGAAGAGATCTAACAGACAGATACAGGAGAGATCTAACAGACAGGTACAGGAGAGATCTAACAGACAGGTACAGGAGAGATCTAACAGACAGGTACAGGAGGGATCTAACAGACAGGTACAGGAGGGATCTAACAGACAGGTACAGGAGGGATCTAACAGACAGATACAGGAGGGATCTAACAGACAGATACAGGAGAGATCTAACAGACAGGTACAGGAGAGATCTAACAGACAGATACAGGAGGGATCTAACAGACAGGTACAGGAGGGATCTAACAGACAGGTACAGGAGAGATCTTACAGACAGGTACAGGAGGAATCTAACAGACAGATACAGGAGAGATCTAACAGACAGGTACAGGAAAGATCTAACAGACAGGTACAGGAGAGATCTAACAGACAGATACAGGAGAGATCTAACAGACAGAAACAGGAGGGATCTAACAGACAGGTACAGGAGAGATCTAACAGACAAATACAGGAGAGATCTAACAGATACAGGAGAGATCTAACAGACAGGTACAGGAGAGATCTAACAGACAGATACAGGAGAGATCTAACAGACAGATACAGGAGAGATCTAACAGACAGGTACAGGAGAGATCTAACAGACAGGTACAGGAGAGATCTAACAGACAGATACAGGAGAGATCTAACAGACAGGTACAGGCGAGATCTAACAGACAGATACAGGAGAGATCTAACAGACAGATACAGGAGAGATCTAACAGACAGATACAGGAGAGATCTAACAGACAGATACAGGAGAGATCTAACAGACAGGTACAGGAGGGATCTAACAGACAGATACAGGAGGGATCTAACAGACAGATACAGGAGAGATCTAACAGACAGGTACAGGAGAGATCTAACAGACAGGTACAGGAAAGATCTAACAGACAGGTACAGGAGAGATCTAAAAGACAGATACAGGAGAGATCTAACAGACAGGTACAGGAGAGATCTAACAGACAGGTACAGGAGAGATCTAACAGACAGGTACAGGAGGGATCTAACAGACAGGTACAGGAGGGATCTAACAGACAGATACAGGAGGGATCTAACAGACAGATACAGGAGGGATCTAACATACAGATACAGGAGAGATCTAACAGACAGATACAGGAGAGATCTAACAGACAGATACAGGAGAGATCTAACAGACAGATACAGGAGAGATCTAACAGACAGATACAGGAGAGATCTAACAGACAGATATATGATTCAGGCGGTCCCAGTACACAGTCTTTAATAGTTGCTTAGAGAGACAGAGCACGTATATGACCGTGAGAAGTTCAAAGACAGCAACTCTGTTTACATTAAATAAAAAAATCATGACTTGTTATTTCAACTATTCATTTTTAAAAGTGGCTTTATAATGACATCAATCAAACAAACACAAGGTTACAATGGTAACTCTCTTCATCACATAGATGCATTCAGTCAAAGAAATGCATTATATCATTCTCTTCCTGAGTTCAGTTGTCTTTTACCTTCTTTTCTACTCTCACTTCTGTTTTTAAACTCAGCTATTTCATATTTGTTATTAGCACAAGTATCATTGCTGCTAACAGTATCATCACCATTATATTCTGTACAACTCTACGATACAGGAGTGTTACATTCAACATAATGAATCTGTGAAATGGTGTAATACAACATATGACTTGCATTTCTCATTCATCTACAGATTATTTTCTCTCCGAGTTGATTTTTTTTGTTTTGTCTCTTTACTTTCTACTTTCACATTTGCTTTTAGACTCCTCCTCCATATTTAACATTGTCATCAGCACAAGTATCATTGCTGCTATAAGTATCACCATCATTATTATCATTTTTATTTGCATATTTAGTATAACTTTATGATCAAGCAGTATTTAAAAAATTAAAAAAGTAAAGGAGCCTTGTCCAGGCCTTCAGGTGTACTGGGCATATAGGGCTAGACCTATATTTTATAGACCAGTCAGCACTCTCTGGGTCAACATCACATGGCTACCTTTACTTCCCAGGACTGCACCTGGTACCCACTCAAGGCTTGGGTCGACCTAGGTGCCAAGGTCATTTTTGAAGAAAGCTTGTTCCATTAGGACCCGAACTTACCACATTCTGATCCACAGGCAAGCGTCTAGCCGCTAAACAACGGCAACTCCTACAGCAGTATTACTCTCAACATTCTGAATGCGTAAATAAAAAATTGTTTAAAAAAAAAAAAACATACAGATACATAAACAAGTCAGCAGTAGCAATGAGACACAATCCAAACATCAGAAAATTCTGAAGATTTCACCGTGGACCTCAAAACATCAACTTGTGGATCTTTGAACCAAGAGCTCACCGGGCAGAGTTCAGGAAAGAGCTGTAGAAGAAAGAATTCTGCAACAAAAGTGTCGGACTACTGCATGCGGTCAGAGACAATAAAGTCGTATATCACCAAAAAGTTTCCCAGCGCAAATGCACACGATGTACCTCACATTAACTCTTGCTCTCCCAGCTAATGTTAGAGGCAGTTCAGGATGGCAACACTAAAATCAAGGGTATACTACTTCCAGAGAGGCCAAGGAGGCAACCCCTGCAGGAAACAAATATGTTGTCAGAGTTCTTCAGAGTCGCTCACTAAACATAAACTGTAAAAACATACATAACATGTTGACTGATACATGTGAATAATACCCAGTGAGGATGTACGCTGTTAAGGACAGAAAGAGTTCAGTAAGCATTGCACTATGTCTCTTCTGTCTTCATCCCTTTATCCCACAAGGAGCTACTGCCCTCACACCTAACCATCCTATCCTGCAGCTCCTCCCACATCTTCTTCTATCACTGGCATGGTTGACATAATCTGTCATATTTACTACATGATCTCACATTTTATCATTCTTCTGTCGTTATTTGTCACAAGAACGAATGTCACATGATCTGCCACATACATCAACTGCCAGGTTTAACCCATGATCTGTCACATGATCTGTTAAATTTATCACATGATCTGTTACATTTATGACATAATCTGTCAATGACCTGTTACATTTAACACATGCTGTCACATGATCTGTTACCTTCATCCCATGATCTGTAACATGATCTGACACATTTATCACATGATCTGTTACATTTGTCACATGATTCATTAGATCTGTCACACAATTTGTCATGTGATCTGTCACATTTTAGAAGTGTACATGGCAGCGTTGGATATGATGGAGCCTATATCTACGGCTGGTTCATCATCAGAGCTGTGGCTGTTCCAGGCAAGTTCATCACTGCTCTCCTCCGAGGATTCAAATGTTTTCAGAGTTTTTACCTGCCACATTTCCTCTTGGCACAAAAGTTCTGTAGAAGATGGAAAACAAAAATCGTGTCAGATGAGAGTTTCAAGTAAGTGCGGATTCATCAAAGCCGACTTGTTTATGAAATCTCAGGTGCGCAATAATGAATGTCCTTCTTCACATTTGTGCACTCTGTGAGTATGTGTGGCAGAGGCAGATGAAATGTGTGGGTGGGAGAAGAAACTGTGTGTGTTGGGGGTTGTGAGGGTGAGGAGGTAGTCTGTAAGTGGGTGGACACAACAAGAGAGTGAGTTAGGAACTGAATATATAAATACATTAACATTCTGTACTGCTGATTACTCACACAAAACATCAGAAAGATGTTAGGAAAAGAACACAGAGTGAGCAGGGGAGGGAGGGAGGGATGGGGAGAGAGAGAGAGAGAGAGAGAGAGAGAGAGGGAGGGAAGATAAATAAGAGAGAGTAGAGGGAAAAGAGTGAGAAGATGCAGCAAGTGGGTGAGGAAGAGTTAGGGTAAGAGAAAATGCATAGGAGACAAGGAAAGAAATCACAGACCACAATCGAAAAATAAGGGAGGGCAAGGAAGGAGGAGCAAGAACAAATGAGAGAGATGAGACAAGTGGGAGAGGTGTTATGTTTGTGCATGTGTGAGAGAGAGAGAGAGAAAGGAGAGAGAGAGAGAGCTGAGGTAAAAGGATTTCTAAATTAGTAATCATTATCCACATTGATTCAAATTAACAAGAACTGTATTGCCCATGTTACATTGAGGAGTGGGGCTTTACAGAAACTCACTTTTCTTCTGTGTGAGCTTTGTAATGTTGTCCTCATCTTCAACATCTTCGTCCTCATCGCTGTTGAAAGGATGTTCAAAGTCTGGCCTCAGATTGGGAAGCTGCAATAAACAATTCTCATAGCTTGGGCTTCATCTAGAACAGCTGTCTTGGACATTCACACATGAAACTGCCGGCGGCAGGCCTTGTCCAAGGTGGTGGACACTGGGGTGCAGGCTGGGACAGCCAGATATGAGCATTTTGCCAAGGATACAAGATGTCTGGTTGGTCAACACAGAACAGGTGTCATCAATTGTTTAACTCTTGTAAAGCTACCAAGGGGGATCAGAGCATCTATGGATCTGTCCAGAGTGCTGTGATGATAGTTCTCATTAATCAATCAGAGCATCTATGGATCTGTCCAGAGTGCTGTGATGATAGTTCTCATTAATCAATCAGACTAAACTGAATACCAAATTCTCAGAACTGCCCCCCCCCCCCCCCCTTCTCCTAAACTGTAAGAGGACCGAGACCTCCCAATGTTTTCTGTGAGTCTGTGCCTTGGTAGCACAGTCTGCAACAGTATCAGCTCTCTTGTCATTCTTCCCAGCAGTGCTGCCAAAATTACGCACAATTCACACAGTCAAGCAGGTCATTTCTTAGTCTAAGGTGGCTGTTCAATGTTGCTTATTTGAAACATAAATTCAGCATCTTCAAATGTCTTCAAACCTGGAGGCTAAAGTATCCTGAATAAGGTGACCTGCCTAAATATCATGCGCTCAAAATTACGAGACAGCCAAGCAGCTCGGGAGGGAAAGGTCAAGTGCAAGAGAGCAAGAGGGAGACAACATTACAAGTGAGAGGACAACTCCATGAGAGAGTGTACATCTAGGGCAAAAAACAAAGCATGCTGGAGATTCATTGTAGCTAACCTTTCATGTGGAGACGGCTCCTGATTAACTGATGATGATAAGTAGCCCTATTTATTAAATAAAATAATATTTATTATTATTATTGCACAATTAGTCAAGGCTTAAGCCCACTGAGCAATGTGATAATGGGGTGGGGGGGGGGTGGGTGGGGGGAACGAGGGTGCTGAGAACTGAGCTCCCTCTCCAATGCTATCTCTTTAGCGGCGCCCCTGCATCAAAGAAGTATGCCGGACTGCTGCGCTTGTTCACTGCTGCGCTTGTCCACTGCTGCACTTGTTCACTACTGCACTTGTTCACTACTGCACTTGTTCACTATTGCACTTGTTTACTATTGCACTTGTTCACTGCTGCACTTGTTCACTGCTGCGCTTGTTCATTGCTGTGCTTGTTCACTGCTGCACTTGTTCACTGCTGCGCTTGTTCATTGCTGCGCTTGTTCACTGCTGCGCTTGTTCACCACTGCGCTTGTTCACTACTGCGCTTGTTCACTGCGACTAAGTGCACACATATACCACTGGTACAATCCGGCTGGTCAAGTTATAGAGGGTAAATTACTAATGTGTCATAGTCCAAGTAGTCAACATAGAACTCAAAAGGGCGTCTTATACACTGAAAAATACAGTAATGATCCGAGTTTGTCCACCAGTATATGGGCGGCAAGAGATGCTAGCATAGGTGTTGTGGCTTTTACTTGTATTGTGAGGGGAGATTCTCAGGCACATTTTCAGAGCTCTAGAACTCTGTTCATATCATCAAGTTACAAGGATAATGGGAAAAGTCAAAGATGCAGGTGAAGAGGAAAGCAGAAAAGACAAGATGTGAATGATAAGAATGACAGTGGGCAAGGATGAAGAGAAGAACTGTCTGTATGCTCTGTTTACCAATAAGCAGATAATAAAACGCATCTTACCTTGACTTTCTGTTTCAAAAGTCGACTCCATTTTCCTTTTGCCTGTTTGCACAGCGACACAAGTGAGTAGCTGGCATACACACAAACCTTGGAATTTTCTGGAATCACATAATCGTACAGCTCCCAGTCAAACTGGCTCCTCACTCCTCCTGACTCACTCCTGTTATGTAGAACAAGACACATGATTTCCAAGTATACGTTGATAAACTTCTCTGTTTGAATATTTTCATTTCTTGTAGTCCACTCCCCCACCCCTTTTCCCTCCACATTTTAAACACTCTAATTCCAAAAATGCAACTACAGTAAATGTCTGTTCTGTGAACAATGTGAAGGAACCTATATTTGCTCACATTTTATACATGCAGTAAATTATGTACTCTGGTGTGCCTCAGGGCTGTGTACTATCGCCGCTTCTTTTTATAACATACATGGATACTATATGTAGCGAAACGAACTTTAATCATGAAGAAGATATTACAGAATTACTTTTCGCCGATGACCAGGTACTCATAGCAGAAAATACGGAATGCCTACAGAACCCCCTAAATCAAATTAGTAACAAAGGGGAGGAATATAATAAGAAAATAAACACTACGAAGACAGAGATAATGATAATAGGAAGACATAAAGACAATTTAGAAATTAAATTAAAAAACAACACTCTGAGACTAACAGAGGAATTTAAGTATTTGGAAGCAATTTTTACATCTGACGGAAAACTGGACAGAGAAATTAGCTCCAGATGAGCTAAAGCTAATCAAGTAATGTGTCAACTATCTCCCCTGTTGACACACAAGCAGATTCCTCGGAGTACTAAAGTGAATCTTATGAGAACTATTTTTTGGCCAACACTACGCTATCCATGCCAAACATGGACACTTACATCCTCCAATGAACGTAAAATTGTGACAACAGAGATGAAATGCCTTAGAAGAGCTGCAGGAGTTTCAAGGAAAGACAGAATACAAAATCATGAAATCAGACGAATGCTAGGAACAGAGCCAGTCTTACAGGTCATCAAAGAACAACAAATGAAGTGGTTTGGACACCAAACAAGAATGCCCTGGTACTATCCGCCACAGCGAGCTACACTAAAACGTTACAAGGGGTATAGAGCGAGTGGAAGACCTGGGAAAATATGGAGTGATGGCATTAAGAACAGCCTTACAGAAATGAACATCAGTCTTAATAAGTCTCTTGACAGAGCTCATCAACGAACATTATACCCCCCCCCCCCCCCCCCCCCCCGACACTTCAATGAGGTACAAGGTGGAACAGAAGAAGAAGAAGTAGTAAATTATGTACATTGTGCATGATGTCTATCCTAAAAGGTGGATGCCCTCTGTTTGAAGCTGTGCTTACCTGCAATAGATCTTAGAATCAGATACCGAGAAATCCTCCACTCTGGCATCGCTGATATGGACCGTCAGAAGAATTCTGAAGCAGTTCTGTGACCAAGTGACAACTGGTGAAACTCTAGACAGTGCAGAAACAAACTCAATTAAGGATGGCAATAACAAATATATGGTCCTGGCATTCTTCTTAATCTTTTCTTCTACTGCTTATGACATACAGAGGGGTCATATGTGCCTTCCTCTACTATGTTAGTTACACAGTTTGTGTCAATATCATACTGCGTTTCTGTAGCGTCTCTTTCACTCCCTCCACCCATTTCTTACTTGGTGTGCCTTCTGCTGTGTAGCCTGCTGTTCTCATGTAGTACGCTACAGATGCTGGCTAATTTTATTCCATTCCCCCCAAATGACTAAACCATTTGATTCTTTGATGTTCTATGAGAATATTTTCTGGTACTGGGCCTACTATTGTTCTTAGTTAGCTGACATTAGCATACGATAACAAACATAATAAAAGTGAATTGTTTACAATGGAATATGGGAAGCTGCAGTGAAAGACCAGGACCAGGGCGGACGCTGGTCAACCCGTGTCCACAACCTGTTCCTAGAACCAGCTTCTCTATGGGCAGCCAGGCCAATGTACCGACGATTAACGTTTCCTTTGAAGTCAAAGCACATCTGCAAGAGAGGCACAGAACCAACATTCTGCACATGAATAAGTCACATATATATAGATGTGCACGCATCACTGAAGTCCTCGAGCAAATCTAGAAGTGGTTGAACAACCAGGACTTACCCCCAGAGTTTACACCAGGTGAACAACCAGAACTTACCCCCAGAGTTTACACCAGGTGAACAACCAGGACTTACCCCCAGAGTTTACACCAGGTCAACAACCAGGACTTACCCCCAGAGTTTACACCAGGTAAACAACCAGGACTTACACCCAGAGTTTACACCAGGTCAACAACCAGGACTTACCCCCAGAGTTTACACCAGGTAAACAACCAGGACTTACCCCCAGAGTTTACACCAGGTGAACAACCAGGACTTACCCCCAGAGTTTACACCAGGTGAACAAGAAGGACTTACCCCCAGAGTTTACACCAGGTGAACAACCAGGACTTACCCCCCAAGTTTACACCAGGTGAACAACTAGGACCTACCCCCAGAGTTTACACCAGGTGAATAACTAGGACTTACCCCCAGAGTCTACACCAGGTGAACAACCAGGACTTACCCCCCAAGTTTACACCAGGTGAATAACTAGGACTTACCCCCAGAGTTTACACCAGGTGAATAACTAGGACCTACCCCAAGAGTTTACATCAGGTGAACACTAAGAAGAAGATGAAATGATCTGGAAAGTGGAGATGAAACTATAGAAGAGAAATGCTGAATACCTGGAAAGGAGATGAAACTATAGAAGAGAAATGCTGAATACCAGGACTGTTTCCAACACTTACATTTTACAGACTTTGGTTGGTTGGCAGGCTTGAACCCCAGCCAAACTTTCAGGCTTCGGCAGGGTCAGGCTGAGCTCTTCCATCAGCTGCAGGCAGACTTCAACTGTAGGGCTGCTGAGTCCACCAGCTTCAAGGCTACACAACAAAACACTCATCATTTATAACTGTTATACATCTTTTACTGTAGAAAATATAATACAATAGTTCTTCTTCTTCTTCTTCTATCCTTATGTCAGAAAACTTATATCAGGAGGCCGGTAGCCTTAATGAAAGCTATCGTGCAATCCATATCCTCTCGTGTACCATACAGTTTTGTCTTCAGTGTGGCTGGAACAGGCCAGATTGCCTCTCTGTTGTCAGCTGCCAGTGTTGGAGCACATGCTCAGCATTTCCAGGTGCCACGCTGCAGGGACACGTCTCTGTGTTTCCTACACCGCCAGGTTTGAATACATGTTGATGAAGTCTGCTGTGCTCTGTCCCTAGTCTGAATATAATACACTGTCCATCTCTAGAGGCAATGCACTGAGTCTTGAGGAGATAATCTGGTGTGGGTGGGCGGGCGGGCGGGCATGCGTGCGTGCGTGCGTGCGTGTGTGTGTGTGTGTGTAACCAGCCACCTTTCTTGGATACTAGATTGTATTAATGTTTTCGTCTCTCGGTGGATTAAGTCACTATCTGGTTGAACCATGTCACTGCTGCAGTGACCAAAGAAGAAGAAGAAGAAGAAGAAGAAAAGAAGAAGAAAACGAAAAAGAAGAACAAGAACAAGAAGAGGAGAAGAGGAGGAAGAAGAAGAAGAAGAGGAGAAAAAGAAGAGGAAGAGGAAGAAGAAGATGAAGAAGAAGAAGAAGAAGAATAAGAAGAAGAGGAGAAAAAGAAGAGGAAGAGGAAGAAGAAGGAGAAGGAAAAAGAAGGTGAAGGAGGAGGAAAAGAAGAAGAAAAAGGAGAAGAAAAAAGAAGGAGTAGGAGGAGGAGAAGAACAAGGAGAACAAGAAGAAGAATCAGTCATTCAACAGCACATCAACCATCACAAAGGAAAAAATTAACTGCTCCACTCACTCCTTGAGGATGATCAGCAGCTTGTTCTCCAACAGTGCAACCTTGTGCTTGCAGCTGCTGGTCACCAGGCATCTGAACACCGACATCAGGCAAAACAAGCACTGCAACAAGAACCAGGATTAGAGATAAGCAATCACACAAGTAGGAAAAATTATCAGTACAATCTGTCAATCGATCACCATCATCATGTAGAAGGGTCTTGACCAGACCTCTTAGGTGCTGTTGCAATTATTCACCCCAATGACGTCACAATGACGTCACGGCAGTCAAATAATTTCAAGGGTGGTAAGATAGGGATTTTCCAGTGTGTTTCCAGCTGTCTTTCAGAATTGCCAAGGTTTTGGAGCGTCGCTAAGGCTTTGGCGTGCTTCTTGTTCCCGATGGCGTCTTCTCTCCAGCGACTTGTGTCTGTCTCCTGCGACCTGTGTGTGCCGCATCTTGTTCCAGTCTTCAACGCCATGAATTTCCTCAAATTAGCAGCATCTGTGGCTGACCAGTCATAATTAATTATATTACCCGTGTTATTGCTCTTTTGGTGTGTTTTTTTTAATAATTATTACTTGGGTGATATGCTGCCGAAAATATGCTAAGAGCTGAAACTTACAATTTACATTTAACAAAAATAAGAAAAAAGACATGTAAGGGTTGAACGCGGCACCTTTACATTGTAAGGAAGATGTGATACCAACTACACTAGACATTCACATGAATATGAGAAATGAAAACAGGACCAGTATTCTACACCAACCAACTGCGCACCAACACACACAAAAATGCAGCTGATTGCGCACCAATACATTTAAAAAAAGATGATTCAACACAGCACACACAGACTGGCTGGGATCAGAGCTAGGTGGGTCATGATTCAGCAAAACACACAGACTGGCTGGGATCAGAGCTAGGTGGGTCATGATTCAGCAAAACACACAGACTGGCTGGGATCAGAGCTAGGTGGGTCATGATTCAGCAAAACACACAGACTGGCTGGGATCAGAGCTAGGTGGGTCATGATTCAGCAAAACATACAGATTGGCTGGGATCAGAGCTAGGTGGGTCATGATTCAGCAAAACATACAGACTGGCTGGGATCAGAGCTAGGTGGGTCATGATTCAGCAAAACATACAGACTGGCTGGGATCAGAGCTAGGTGGGTCATGATTCAGCAAACAGACTGGCTGGGATCAGAGCTAGGTGGGTCATGATTCAACACAGCACACACAGACTGGCTGGGATCAGAGCTAGGTGGGTCATGATTCAGCAAACAGACTGGCTGGGATCAGAGCTAGGTGGGTCATGATTCAACACAGCACACACAGACTGGCTGGGATCAGAGCTAGGTGGGTCATGATTCAACACAGCACACACAGACTGGCTGGGATCAGAGCTAGGTGGGTCATGATACAGCACACACAGACTGGCTGGGATCAGAGCTAGGTTGGTCATGATTCAACACAGCACACACAGACTGGCTGGGATCAGAGCTAGGTTGGTCATGATTCAGCACACACAGACTGGCTGGGATCAGAGCTAGGTGGGTCATGATTCAGCAAAACACACAGACTGGCTGGGATCAGAGCTAGGTGGGTCATGATTCAACACAGCACACACAGACTGGCTGGGATCAGAGCTAGGTGGGTCATGATTCAGCAAAACACACAGACTGGCTGGGATCAGAGCTAGGTGGGTCATGATTCAGCAAAACACACAGACTGGCTGGGATCAGAGCTAGCTGGGTCATGATTCAGCACAGCACACAAGACTGGCTGGGATCAGAGCTAGGTGGGTCATGATTCAGCACAGCACACAAGACTGGCTGGGATCAGAGCTAGGTGGGTCATGATTCAGCACAGCACACACAGACTGGCTGGGATCAGAGCTAGGTGGGTCATGATTCAGCAAAACACATAGCACCAAAAGGGAGATTATTCATTTTTATTTTTAAACTAACATATTGTGGAGACTAGCTAAGTGACAAATATGACAGCAGCAAAAGTATGAACTGACACTAGCTAAGTGACAAATATGACAGCAGCAAAAGTATGAACTGACACTAGCTAAGTGACAAATATGACAGCAGCAAAAGTATGAACTGACACTAGCTAAGTGACAAATATGACAGCAGCAAAAGTATAAACTGACACTAGCTAAGTGACAAATATGACAGCAGCAAAAGTATGAACTGACACTAGCTAAGTGACAAATATGACAGCAGCAAAAGTATGAACTGACACTAGCTAAGTGACAAAATATGACAGCAGCAAAAGTATGAACTGACACTAGCTAAGTGACAAATATGACAGCAGCAAAAGTATGAACTGACACTAGCTAAGTGACAAAATATGACAGCAGCAAAAGTATGAACTGACACTAGCTAAGTGACAAATATGACAGCAGCAAAAGTATGAACTGACACTAGCTAAGTGACAAATATGACAGCAGCAAAAGTATGAACTGACACTAGCTAAGTGACAAATATGACAGCAGCAAAAGTATGAACTGACACTAGCTAAGTGACAAATATGACAGCAGCAAAAGTATGAACTGACACTAGCTAAGTGACAAATATGACAGCAGCAAAAGTATGAACTGATTCTAGCTAAGTGACAAATATGACAGCAGCAAAAGTATGAACTGACACCAGCTAAGTGACAAAATATGACAGCAGCAAAAGTATGAACTGACACTAGCTAAGTGACAAATATGACAGCAGCAAAAGTATGAACTGACACTAGCTAAGTGACAAAATATGACAGCAGTAGAAGTATGAACTGACACTAGCTAAGTGACAAAATATGACAGCAGCAAAAGTATGAACTGACACTAGCTAAGTGACAAATATGACAGCAGCAAAAGTATGAACTGACACTAGCTAAGTGACAAATATGAAATAAGAAATATAAGTAGAAGTATGAACTGACCTTTTCACAGGAGCACTGGACAAGGAGATTCATGATGTCAGCAACATGGGCTTCTCTCATCAAACAGCTGTGGCAGCTGAAACACACATACAATAGCACATATGATTACTGAATCACACATACAATAGCACATATGATTACTGAATCACACATACAATAGCACATATGATTACTGTTTGCTGAGTGGGTTCTGGGCACAATTCTGGGAGGAAAGAAGAGACCCACATCCTTCCCCCTTTCCAATAAGCATGTTGAAAAAGGCAACTAATTATGGGTTTTTCCTTCAAAATCAAAGTGTATCTGCCTGAGAGGCGAGAAACCAACAGTCCGCTTACACACACACAAAAAAAGGCAAAAAGCCAGATCTGTAAAAAATACAGATAATATCTGGGGTGAAAAAATCAATGTTTTCCTTTTGGACTTTATGATGTCATAATAAACTTATAATGATGACACGAAGAATATTCTTGGTCAAAGGAAAGGAAATCGGTTATTTCTTAACTCCATTTATATTAAGTGATTACTCTCCAAATATATATATATATATATATATATATATATATATATATATATATATATATATAGGTTTTATATTTTTTTAAAGACCTCCTTTTCTCAAAATATTGACTTTTATGACAAATCAGTGTCTACCTGCCGCCCCCATGTGAGATAGAAATTTTTTTTTTATTTGAAGCCCCACCCTGGCTTCTGCCGGGGGCCCTGAATATAGCCGGGGCATAGATACGGCCTAGCCATAGATATGGCCTAACAGCTGAAAGGGGTTTCTGGGGCCTCTCCATGGGCGATCCTCATCTGCATGGTGGCACGTTATGTCACCAGGTGTTTGTCGCTTGGATGATGTCCTCGTGGGGTACAACTATCTACCTGGCAACTGGGTGTTAGGATGATGCTCAGTGGTCACAGGCTTCAACCTTCTGGATGTTTATAAACACTGACCAAGACTGCACATTTCTTCCGCTACATTTACTGTTTCTCTTATTTCATTGAGTAGAGTTTCAGAAAACTACAACCACGTTTCTTTTTAATGAATTTTCGAAACAAGTCTTTTTTTTTTAATTCATTTTGTTTCCAAAGCAAAGAGTGCAAGTTTCCTACTTAACCTGAATGACATGACCAATTTCAACCAAAATGCAGTGGGATGCGTATCTCAACATAAACAAACCTGTCCCATGTTGCCATGGCAGCAAGCATCTCCAGCCATGGCACTCTTTCCTGATCAACTGATGTCTGCTTGAGTGCGGAGAAAATCTGGTCCACCATTACTGAGGTTTTCAGCTCAGCACACACGCTACAACAGAAACATAAGACATCACATAATAAATAGACTGAAAACTCTATGTGATCTTACATACCTCTTCTCTCTTTCTCTCATCTCCTAACAGGGCGTAACTCCGTAATGATTTATGCCAAGCCTTTTGTTTGCATTTTGGAAATTTCTACAGCATGAAGTAGTCTCCTTTCTCTCTCAGTGTTCACCAGCAGTAAACTCCAGCCGAAAGTTCTGGTTGTTCGTCCACTTCTGGACTTTGGTCTTAATCCACAACTTGAATTCTGAGTGCACATTCATTTTACAGATCTAGCTTATTTGTATGCAATGCAGACTACTGGTTCCTTACCTCTCAGGCAGATGCACTCTATTAGTCACCACTTAAAACAAGTCTGTTGGGGGTGGGAAGGTGGGTCTATTTTTCCTGTTCTCCAAAATGGAGCCCCAGAACACACAGGCGGGAGGATGAGGTAGTCAATTTTCACACCAACCTTCCTTGGTCGCTTGTAAACACATGTACCTCTTTCAAACTGACACCTGAGTGTGTGCATGTGAGACAGCACTACATGACCCGATCCTGATATATCCTTGCACTTGCCATGTGGTTTCCAGAGCCCTTTTCTTGGAGGGGATGGCGAGGGGGCAAATAAACTACTTCAGCTTTAACAAACATGTCAATTTTTACACCAACTTTCCTTGGTCGCTTGTAAACACATGTACCACTTTCAAACTGACACCTGAGTGTGTGCATCTGAGACAGCACTACATGACCCGATCTTGTTATATCTTTGCGATTGCCATGTGGCTTCCAGAGCTCTTTCTTTAAGGGGTGGTGTTGAGGGAAATAAACTACTTCAGCTTTAACAAGCATGTCACAAAAGGTGACTAATTGATGGTCTGTGAAAACTGGTTGTGTATGGTCAAACAGCACAGATATTTTGACTTCTGGTCAAAATGGACGCTAGGCAGAGGCACTGTTTGAAGCCGAAGCAATTTTTTTATTCTGCCGGACGGTGGCCGATGCATTTTCGCTCCATTTGTAGACTGGAAATAGTTTCGTCGCCCAGCTTCTGAGTTGAATGTATGGTGTGACACTGTGAGCTGTGGATTTCATTTAGAATGTTTTTTTTACTGTGACCAACGTGGTGGAGTGAATTGTAGATTCAGAAAATGGTGCCATGCCTGTCGTCGCAATGTTGGTGGTGCCTGTATATGATTAAAATTGATCACGGAAGCAACTGCTGACCTGTTGGTGACTTCTGATACCATCAATGATGAACTGCATTTCTAGTGTCGGACTGTTGGTGTTAGCACTTTGGATGGCTACCATATGCTTTAATGCGTGTGTATGCTAGATATGTTGAGACAGCAGTCTGTAAATCTTTCCACAAGGGACTGTGATAAACATTCCTGTGTTTTTGGTTGGCACAGGAGCGGAGCAAAGATGGGGTGACCCGTTTGCTATGAAGCTGAAACTAAGACTACAAGACTACCAGACAGCACAGATATTGTAGCCTTGCTATAAACCACAAGACAACAAGCTAACAACACTCTGAAGGACAATCAGATAAAGACATCCAAGCCTCACTGCACATTCTCTCTTGTCATCTGAACACCAATAGTTACTCACCTTTCATCTGTCACCTGTACAAGTTTTGCCGCAGCACTACACACACTTTTTAGGGTCTGAAAATTAACATATTTTAAACAAAATTAAATAGATAAAAAAATTTGATAACGATATGAAAATATAATTTGTAAATGAACTATAAACTACATTATTAAAATATATCACCCGTAACAACATTGAAATAAAATAAATACATTTAGTTAGTAAATATACTGATAATTAAAAATTAACAAAAACATCTTAGTATAAATAAACAGCTACACAAAGAATGCAATTTGAGAGTGCACATGTATGCACACATACATAAACATTACAAATATAAACTAAGCTCCTGTATATGCGCCAAAATAAGACCACCTCTAATATTCATGTTTTCTTCTGCTGGCAGTGCACTGGTAACACAGCTACTGCTGGCAGTGCACTGGTAACACAGCTACTGCTGGCAGTGCACTAGGAACACAGCTTCTGCTGGCAGTGCACTAGGAACACAGCTTCTGCTGGCAGTGCACTGGGAACATAGCTACTGCTGGCAGTGCACTGGTAACATAGCTTCTGCTGGCAGTGCACTGGGAACATAGCTACTGCTGGCAGTGCACTGGTAACATAGCTACTGCTGGCAGTGAACTGGTAACACAGCTTATGCTGGCAGTGAACTGGTAACACAGCTTATGCTGGCAGTGCACTGGTAACACAGCTTATGCTGGCAGTGCACTGGTAACACAGCTACTGCTGGCAGTGAACTGGTAACACAGCTTATGCTGGCAGTGCACTGGTAACACAGCTTATGCTGGCAGTGAACTGGTAACACAGCTACTGCTGGCAGTGAACTGGTAACATAGCTACTGCTGGCAGTGAACTGGTAACACAGCTTATGCTGGCAGTGAACTGGTAACACAGCTTATGCTGGCAGTGCACTGGTAACACAGCTTATGCTGGCAGTGAACTGGTAACACAGCTTATGCTGGCAGTGAACTGGTAACATAGCTACTGCTGGCAGTGAACTGGTAACATAGCTACTGCTGGCAGTGCACTGGTAACATAGCTACTGCTGGCAGTGCACTGGTAACACAGCTACTGCTGGCAGTGCACTGGTAACACAGCTTATGCTGGCAGTGCACTGGTAACACAGCTTATGCTGGCAGTGAACTGGTAACATAGCTACTGCTGGCAGTGCACTGGTAACACAGCTTATGCTGGCAGTGCACTGGTAACACAGCTTATGCTGGCAGTGCACTGGTAACACAGCTTATGCTGGCAGTGCACTGGTAACACAGCTACTGCTGGCAGTGCACTGGGAACATAGCTACTGCTGGCAGTGCACTGGTAACACAGCTACTGCTGGCAGTGCACTGGGAACATAGCTACTGCTGGCAGTGCACTGGGAACATAGCTACTGCTGGCAGTGAACTGGTAACACAGCTTATGCTGGCAGTGCACTGGTAACACAGCTTATGCTGGCAGTGAACTGGTAACACAGCTACTGCTGGCAGTGAACTGGTAACATAGCTACTGCTGGCAGTGAACTGGTAACACAGCTTATGCTGGCAGTGAACTGGTAACATAGCTACTGCTGGCAGTGAACTGGTAACATAGCTACTGCTGGCAGTGAACTGGTAACACAGCTTATGCTGGCAGTGCACTGGTAACATAGCTACTGCTGGCAGTGAACTGGTAACATAGCTACTGCTGGCAGTGAACTGGTAACACAGCTTATGCTGGCAGTGAACTGGTAACACAGCTACTGCTGGCAGTGCACTGGTAACACAGCTACTGCTGGCAGTGAACTGGTAACATAGCTACTGCTGGCAGTGAACTGGTAACATAGCTACTGCTGGCAGTGAACTGGTAACACAGCTACTGCTGGCAGTGAACTGGTAACACAGCTACTGCTGGCAGTGCACTGGTAACACAGCTTATGCTGGCAGTGCACTGGTAACACAGCTACTGCTGGCAGTGCACTGGTAACACAGCTACTGCTGGCAGTGAACTGGTAACACAGCTTATGCTGGCAGTGAACTGGTAACACAGCTACTGCTGGCAGTGCACTGGTAACATAGCTACTGCTGGCAGTGAACTGGTAACACAGCTACTGCTGGCAGTGCACTGGTAACACAGCTTATGCTGGCAGTGCACTGGTAACATAGCTACTGCTGGCAGTGAACTGGTAACACAGCTACTGCTGGCAGTGCACTGGTAACACAGCTTATGCTGGCAGTGCACTGGTAACATAGCTACTGCTGGCAGTGAACTGGTAACACAGCTACTGCTGGCAGTGCACTGGTAACACAGCTTATGCTGGCAGTGCACTGGTAACACAGCTACTGCTGGCAGTGCACTGGGAACATAGCTACTGCTGGCAGTGCACTGGTAACACAGCTACTGCTGGCAGTGCACTGGGAACATAGCTACTGCTGGCAGTGCACTGGGAACATAGCTACTGCTGGCAGTGAACTGGTAACACAGCTTATGCTGGCAGTGCACTGGTAACACAGCTTATGCTGGCAGTGAACTGGTAACACAGCTACTGCTGGCAGTGAACTGGTAACATAGCTACTGCTGGCAGTGAACTGGTAACACAGCTTATGCTGGCAGTGCACTGGTAACACAGCTTATGCTGGCAGTGAACTGGTAACATAGCTACTGCTGGCAGTGCACTGGTAACATAGCTACTGCTGGCAGTGAACTGGTAACATAGCTACTGCTGGCAGTGAACTGGTAACACAGCTTATGCTGGCAGTGAACTGGTAACACAGCTACTGCTGGCAGTGCACTGGTAACACAGCTACTGCTGGCAGTGAACTGGTAACACAGCTACTGCTGGCAGTGAACTGGTAACACAGCTACTGCTGGCAGTGCACTGGTAACACAGCTTATGCTGGCAGTGCACTGGTAACACAGCTACTGCTGGCAGTGCACTGGTAACACAGCTACTGCTGGCAGTGAACTGGTAACACAGCTTATGCTGGCAGTGAACTGGTAACACAGCTACTGCTGGCAGTGCACTGGTAACATAGCTACTGCTGGCAGTGAACTGGTAACATAGCTACTGCTGGCAGTGCACTGGTAACATAGCTACTGCTGGCAGTGAACTGGTAACATAGCTACTGCTGGCAGTGAACTGGTAACACAGCTACTGCTGGCAGTGCACTGGTAACATAGCTACTGCTGGCAGTGAACTGGTAACACAGCTTATGCTGGCAGTGAACTGGTAACACAGCTACTGCTGGCAGTGCACTGGTAACATAGCTACTGCTGGCAGTGAACTGGTAACATAGCTACTGCTGGCAGTGAACTGGTAACACAGCTTATGCTGGCAGTGAACTGGTAACACAGCTACTGCTGGCAGTGAACTGGTAACACAGCTTATGCTGGCAGTGAACTGGTAACATAGCTACTGCTGGCAGTGCACTGGTAACATAGCTACTGCTGGCAGTGAACTGGTAACATAGCTACTGCTGGCAGTGAACTGGTAACATAGCTACTGCTGGCAGTGAACTGGTAACACAGCTACTGCTGGCAGTGCACTGGGAACACAGCTACTGCTGGCAGTGCACTGGTAACATAGCTACTGCTGGCAGTGAACTGGTAACATAGCTACTGCTGGCAGTGAACTGGTAACACAGCTACTGCTGGCAGTGCACTGGTAACACAGCTTATGCTGGCAGTGCACTGGTAACATAGCTACTGCTGGCAGTGCACTGGTAACACAGCTACTGCTGGCAGTGCACTGGGAACACAGCTACTGCTGGCAGTGCACTGGTAACACAGCTACTGCTGGCAGTGCACTGGTAACACAGCTACTGCTGGCAGTGCACTGGTAACACAGCTACTGCTGGCAGTGCACTGGTAACATAGCTACTGCTGGCAGTGCACTGGGAACACAGCTACTGCTGGCAGTGCACTGGGAACACAGCTTCTGCTGGCAGTGCACTGGGAACACAGCTTCTGCTGGCAGTGCACTAGGAACACAGCTATCAGTGACTGTACATATCTTAACTAGGGTTATGTTTGCAGTCCGGCTTATGTTGAAACATTCCTGAAAAATCATGACAGGGCTTATTTTGGGGGTAGGCCTCACCTTCGGGGAAGTAGGCTACTAAACTTGCTGAAAATACTAATTAAATAAAATATAACGAACAATCCATGTTGTTGTTGTTGTTGTTATCGATCCAGCGCACATGAGCTTTCACCCTTTGGCTTAATGCCATGTAGTGGAATTTGCATGTTTTCACAAGCTGTTCTTTTCCTCCGTACAAGGTGTTCCACTTGTCTGGTCTCGGAGGGAGTAGCGTTCTTCTTGTCTCACTGAGTTTTGGGCACTCAAAGAGATGGTGTTCAACAGTTTCGTAGGGGTAGTTACATAGCTGGCACTCTGGGGAGTGTTGTGGCTGTATTCTGTTTAGGTGTCCATTGAGTGGAGTATGTTGCGTTCTAAGTCTGAAGATGGTGGCCTGGTCCCTTCTTGTTAGATGGTTAATGCTGTCATTAGGATCAGGGCCAGACATATGTCTATACACCTCTCTTCCAGTGTCTCCCATGGCCCATCTGTTCAACCAAGTCTCTTTGTTTATAGCTCTTATCAGTGTTTTTGCTGTCTGGAGGGTTGTCGCTGTAGGTGGTTGTTCTTGTGTTGCTCCTTTCTTTGCCAATCTGTCAGCTCTGTCATTACCTGGTGTGCCGGAGTGACCTGGAATCCACTGCATCACTATTCTGATGTTGTATGAGGTAATAAGCTGATCAGCATCCAGGATTATCTTGGCTATGTCAGTTCTGCAGTGTTCACTGCCCTCCAGAGCTTGAAGGGCAGACATTGAATCTGTGAAGATGACAATATTTTGGACCTTTGAAGGGTAAACATCCATTACAGTCTTTAGGTGGTATACTGCTGTTTCCAGTGCAATTATTTCAGCTTCATAGTTTGAACAGAATTCCCCGCATGCATCAAAAATCTCTTTAACAGATCCATCAGGATAACCTATGTAGATTCCGTAACCTGCTTTAATGGTAGCTTTAAATGCTGATCCATCAGTATAGACATGTATCCATTCTTGGGGGTAAGAATCAACGGTCTTTAGTGATGAGTTCATAAGAGCGATTGGGTCGGACTGTTTGGTTTCCTCGCCTACCAATTTAGTTCGGACTTCTGGAGCTTTAAAGCGAGCATGTGGTGATAGGTTTCTTGCAACATTCTGAATTCCTTGACCATATAGCGGCAATAATGAAACTAAAATAAAAAAATTGAAATGTAAACCACTGTGATTATTATTTGAAGAGGCTATCAAAGAAAAACAATAGATAACAGAAAGAAATAGATTACGGAGGACACATTAGACGACAGAGTGATATAAATATAAGACACAGCAACGGAACAGAAAGATGTAGGCATCATAAAACACACTCCGGTGTGGGTTCCAGGGCCCCGTTGTGGAGAAAACAAGAATAGACCCACTGCCTCCCCAACAAGCATGTCTTAAGAGTCTACTAATTGAGAGTTTCCTTCAAAATCAGGGTGCATCTGCCTGAGAGGCAAGAAACCAACAATCTTGCAAACACATGAGTCACTTCTGTATAACAGATGTTCATGCAACACTCATGTTCAGGAATATGAGTCCAGAAGTGGAAGAACAACTAGAACTTTCTGCCTGAGCTTACAGCCGGTGAACTCAAAGAAGAAGAAAAAGATCAAACAAATCAGAATTATTACCCCCAAAATAATGTATTAAAGTTAGACACAGTGAATTCAAGAAGTCATTTCCAAATCATATCATGATCACAAACAAAGCACATGCAACATGGAAGCCATGGATCAAATAAAGTGAGTCTGCAGCGCAAGTACCACAGCACTAGCTGCACCCCATTTTTAATCAAACTCATATACAAAAGCATGCACACAGAAATGACTTGGGAGTCAAGCTTGGCTAAGCATATCTATGCCATCTTTGAGGTCAGCTAGGAGAGGTTATAACCAGTTGCTGAATGAATGAACAAATAAATAAAGAGCGGATGTCCCCATACACATGACACTCCCATAGATCAGGGATATTCAACTCTGTTCACTCAGGGGCCAACATTTTAAAAATGGGAATCATCACAGACCAGAGGCCGCAGCCGCAGTGTAAAGATCATTAATAAAATACAAAGGACAATGATCCACTTGCTAGACCTCCAGAGCTGCCAGCCCTGTTCTATAGGCTCCATCCAGTTCACCAGAAGCCAATGAAGAGTTAGCATAGTGACAGTGCCAGCTGAAACCTGATTACAAGTTCAGCTGTTTTTCTTATCTTCTTTTCTGGTAGAGAATCATCCCCCACCCTCGTGCTCACTCCCAACTGGATCATTCTTCCCACAGATCGACCCTCTGCCTCTTCTGTCTCACTGTTTACTAAATCTCAGAGAGCCTTCACAACATCCGCTTTATCAAAGGGAACCCCCAACAGAGGCAAGTACCTTTGGATAACTGCATCAGATGACAGCACGCATAAGAGTGCCCAGTGTGCAGTAATACTGCTTGTGATAATATTACATAACACACATACTCGTATAACTGCATAAGACAGATAGTGATTAACCTATCTTTACCTCCAACTCGGTGGATGAACTCAAAGGTCGACACAGGAACTGAGCAAGGACTGACACTATATAGTTACAGTCAGTCAGTGACTTCAGTAAGCTGTGGAACACAACAAAAACAAGACGCTAACAAACCAATAACTGATATCATCATCATGTGCTGGCTTGGGTGGTCATGATCACAAATCTTACCTGATCATAAGTTTTGGGGATCAGGTCTGTGTTTTTGTCTCAGCTTCATTTGACATCTCTCCTAGTGTTACCCCCCCCCCCCCTCTCCCCCCACCACCCCATACATGTCCCAAGATGTGTGGAGAGAGATTTACGACCCACCTCACCATTCACAGGTCCCTTTTTAATTATCTCTTAACCCAGTCACCATTCACAAGCCAGTACACATTTTTTTTTTTAAATCAAATGGTGTCTTTGGGTAGTAGCCTCTATGCCTAAATTGCAGCTTTAATTTTAATTACACAGTATTTAGACATTGTGGTAATGATTATACTCAAATCAAATTGGAGACATGAGGTGAAAAACTGCTTTGTGTGTCACTTCATCATGACACCACAATAACCTCAAAACAAAAACATGTTCATCATGAACAAAGAGATGGAAAGCAGGTAATTCTTTGCTTTTTTGTATTTAATAATTACCTCCCCTGGAGTTTAAAAAAAAATATTTTTAGCGACCTGATGTAGTGACCCTTACATTTGGTGAAGCAGGTTTCAATTCCCTGATTTTGATAAAACTTGCTGAAAACCTCCCTTGGAGTTAAAAAAAATATATATATATTTTTAGCGACAAGCTGTGCCATTGCCTTGATTGATCTAATATTTCCTTACCTCTCTTGATTGACAAGCTGTGCCATCGCCTTGTCTGCATGATTGGTCTAATATTTCCTTACCTCTCTTGATTGACTAACTGTGCCATCGTCTTGGCTGCATGATTGGTCTAATATTTCCTTACCTCTCTTGATTGACTGTGCCATCGCCTTGGCTGCATGATTGGTCTAATATTTCCTTACCTCTCTTGATTGACAGACTGTGTCACCGCCTTGGCTTCTGTTATTGGTCTAATTTTTCCTTACCTCTCTTGATTTACAAACTGCCATCGCCTTGGCTGCATGATTGGTCTAATATTTCCTTACCTCTCTTGATTGACTAACTGTGCCATCGCCTTGGCTGCATGATTGGTCTAATATTTCCTTACCTCTCTTGATTGACTAACTGTGCCATCGCCTTGGCTGCATGATTGGTCTAATATTTCCTTACCTCTCTTGATTGACAGACTGTGTCACCGCCTTGGTTTCTGTTATTGGTCTAATTTTTCCTTACCTCTCTTGATTTACAAACTGCCATCGCCTTGGCTGCATGATTGGTCTAATATTTCCTTACCTCTCTTGATTTACAAACTGCCATCGCCTTGGCTGCATGATTGGTCTAATATTTCCTTACCTCTCTTGATTGACAGACTGTGTCACCGCCTTGGCTTCTGTTATTGGTCTAATTTTTCCTTACCTCTCTTGATTTACAAACTGCCATCGCCTTGGCTGCATGATTGGTCTAATATTTCCTTACCTCTCTTGATTGACTAACTGTGCCATCGCCTTGGCTGCATGATTGGTCTAATATTTCCTTACCTCTCTTGATTGACTAACTGTGCCATCGCCTTGGCTGCATGATTGGTCTAATATTTCCTTACCTCTCTTGATTTACAAACTGCCATCGCCTTGGCTGCATGATTGGTCTACTATTTCCTTACCTATCTTGATTGACAGACTGTGTCACCGCCTTGGCTTCTGTTATTGGTCTAATATTTCCTTACCTCTCTTGATTTACAAACTGCCATCGCATTGGCTGCATGATTTGTCTACTATTTCCTTACCTCTCTTGAGTGACAGACTGTCACCGCCTTGGCTTCTGTGATTGGTCTAATATTTCCTTACCTCTCTTGATTTACAAACTGTGCCATCGCCTTGGCTGCATGATTGGTCTAATATTTCTTTACCTCTCTTGATTGACAGACTGTGTCACCGCCTTGGCTTCTGTTATTGGTCTAATATTTCCTTACCACTCTTGATTTACAAACTGCCATCGCATTGGCTGCATGATTTGTCTACTATTTCCTTACCTCTCTTGAGTGACAGACTGTGTCACCGCCTTGGCTTCTGTGATTGGTCTAATATTCCCTTACCTCTCTTGATTTACAAACTGTGCCATCGCCTTGGCTGCATGATTGGTCTAATATTTCCTTACCTCTCTTGAGTGACTAGCTGTGTCACTGCCTTGGCTGCCTGCTGCTGGACGCTAGGTCTGCTGGCCTAGAAATCACAAGACAACACTTAGTTTAATAACTAATCCAACAGGATAAATTTGTTGTTTGACAGAATATTGTACTTTTACTAGAACATTCTACTTTTAAAAGAACATTATATCTTTACTGGGATGTTTTACTAATGATGGAACATTCGTCAATGATCAGTGCTACATATCAAGCACTGAACAGCAAAATATTATCTGGCTAATTCTTGTTAACCAAACAATGAAATTCTTGTTAACCAAACAATGAAATTCTATTTAACCAAACAATGAAATTCTATTAAACCAAACAATGAAATTCTATTAAACCAAACAATGAAATTCTTTTTAACCAAACAATGAAATTCTATTTAACCAAATAATGAAATTCTTTTTAACCAAACAATGAAATTCTATTTAACCAAACAATGAAATTCTATTTAACTAAACACTGAAATTCTATTTAATCAAACAATGAAATTCTGGTCAACCAAACTAGTTAACCAAATATTCTAGTTACCCAAACGATGAAATTTTAGCTAACCCAACGATGAAATTCTAGTTTACAAAAAAAAAAATTAAATTCTAGTTAACCAAACAACAAAACTCTGGTTAGACAAAACACAAAACTCTAGTTAACCAATCAATGAAATTCTAGTTAATTATTTAATGGAAATGGAGTGTTAACAAACTTCCTCTTTGTGTTCACGGGCTGTAAACTCCTGTTGAAAATCCTGGTTGTTCCTCCACTTCTTTACTTTGGTTCCAGGACTTGAGTTTTTCATACCTGACTTACTTGTGTGCAGACTGTTGGTTCCTTGCTCTCAGGCACTCCCACTCTGAAGGGAATGTTGATCCCACCTACACTGATCAGACCCCGGTTGGGAACCTGTTCCTTATAAGATCACAGAGAGGTGGAGGCAGGTGTTGACCAGTAGGAGCCCTGGTCCTGGTGGACCATCACCTGTAGTTCAGAAAGACTGCTTCCCTGTCACACACACAAATACGGGAATTTCTTCACACATCTAACCTGTTCAAGACATGCTGCCAGACTGGACAAAAAGTGTGCAGACACTGCTAAATGAGCGACCCTATAGGCAAAAGAAGAAAGGAAGAAAGTCATGTACAAATCAGTTCTATATATCAAAATAATGACAAACAGAGTAATCATCATCGACACTGTCCTATTACATTGGAAGTCATTAGGTCACCAGTTGTTGTTAACTGCCTGATCAGCTCCCTTACCACCTCTGTCGGGCAGAAGTAATGAACTTGATGTTTGCATGACTGAAGCCTGTTCGTTCAGTGATATTCTGTATTCAGGTCTCTTTTTTTGTCCGCCTCTTCTACTCTGCAGAATCCTTTTGGAGAGACTGTTACATGTCCATATCTTTTCACTTTTAATTAAAAAAAAAAAAAAAAAGGTTTATAGCTGTCTATGTGTTGAGGGATGATAACCCAAATTCGTCATCTGCAGTGTGGTCTCTGTATGATATATCTGGATCTTTCAAACAGATCTCATATCCAATGCTGGTATTTTATTTGTAAGTTTGTTCAAGTCCATGTTTCACAGCCATATACAAAGGTACTAATAAGTTAGAGCTCTGAGATGGTGTATCTGTAAGTTTGTTCAAGTCCATGTTTCACAGCCATATACAAAGGTGCTAATAAGTTAGAGCTCTGAGATGGCGTATCTGTAAGTTTGTTCAAGTCCATGTTTCACAGCCATATACAAAGGTACTAATAAGTTAGAGCTCTGAGATGGTGTATCTGTAAGTTTGTTCAAGTCCATGTTTCACAGCCATATACAAAGGTGCTAATAAGTTAGAGCTCTGAGATGGTGTATCTGTAAGTTTGTTCAAGTCCATGTTTCACAGCCATATACAAAGGTGCTAATAAGTTAGAGCTCTGAGATGGCGTATCTGTAAGTTTGTTCAAGTCCATGTTTCACAGCCATATACAAAGGTACTAATAAGTTAGAGCTCTGAGATGGTGTATCTGTAAGTTTGTTCAAGTCCATGTTTCACAGCCATATACAAAGGTACTAATAAGTTAGAGCTCTGAGATGGTGTATCTGTAAGTTTGTTCAAGTCCATGTTTCACAGCCATATACAAAGGTACTAATAAGTTAGAGCTCTGAGATGGTGTATCTGTAAGTTTGTTCAAGTCCATGTTTCACAGCCATATACAAAGGTGTGCTAATAAGTTAGAGCTCTGAGATGGCGTATCTGTAAGTTTGTTCAAGTCCATGTTTCACAGCCATATACAAAGGTACTAATAAGTTAGAGCTCTGAGATGGTGTATCTGTAAGTTTGTTCAAGTCCATGTTTCACAGCCATATACAAAGGTGCTAATAAGTTAGAGCTCTGAGATGGTGTATCTGTAAGTTTGTTCAAGTCCATGTTTCACAGCCATATACAAAGGTGCTAATAAGTTAGAGCTCTGAGATGGCGTATCTGTAAGTTTGTTCAAGTCCATGTTTCACAGCCATATACAAAGGTACTAATAAGTTAGAGCTCTGAGATGGTGTATCTGTAAGTTTGTTCAAGTCCATGTTTCACAGCCATATACAAAGGTGCTAATAAGTTAGAGCTCTGAGATGGCGTATTTGTAAGTTTGTTCAAGTCCATGTTTCACAGCCATATACAAAGGTACTAATAAGTTAGAGCTCTGAGATGGTGTATCTGTAAGTTTGTTCAAGTCCATGTTTCACAGCCATATACAAAGGTGCTAATAAGTTAGAGCTCTGAGATGGTGTATCTGTAAGTTTGTTCAAGTCCATGTTTCACAGCCATATACAAAGGTACTAATAAGTTAGAGCTCTGAGATGGTGTATCTGTAAGTTTGTTCAAGTCCATGTTTCACAGCCATATACAAAGGTGCTAATAAGTTAGAGCTCTGAGATGGTGTATCTGTAAGTTTGTTCAAGTCCATGTTTCACAGCCATATACAAAGGTACTAATAAGTTAGAGCTCTGAGATGGTGTATCTGTAAGTTTGTTCAAGTCCATGTTTCACAGCCATATACAAAGGTACTAATAAGTTAGAGCTCTGAGCAGGCGTATCTGTAAGTTTGTTCAAGTCCATGTTTCACAGCCATATACAAAGGTACTAATAAGTTAGAGCTCTGAGATGGTGTATCTGTAAGTTTGTTCAAGTCCATGTTTCACAGCCATATACAAAGGTACTAATAAGTTAGAGCTCTGAGATGGTGTATCTGTAAGTTTGTTCAAGTCCATGTTTCACAGCCATATACAAAGGTACTAATAAGTTAGAGCTCTGAGATGGTGTATCTGTAAGTTTGTTCAAGTCCATGTTTCACAGCCATATACAAAGGTACTAATAAGTTAGAGCTCTGAGATGGTGTATCTGTAAGTTTGTTCAAGTCCATGTTTCACAGCCATATACAAAGGTGCTAATAAGTTAGAGCTCTGAGATGGTGTATCTGTAAGTTTGTTCAAGTCCATGTTTCACAGCCATATACAAAGGTACTAATAAGTTAGAGCTCTGAGATGGCGTATCTGTTAGTTTGTTCAAGTCCATGTTTCACAGCCATATACAAAGGTACTAATAAGTTAGAGCTCTGAGATGGTGTATCTGTAAGTTTGTTCAAGTCCATGTTTCACAGCCATATACAAAGGTGCTAATAAGTTAGAGCTCTGAGATGGCGTATTTGTAAGTTTGTTCAAGTCCATGTTTCACAGCCATATACAAAGGTACTAATAAGTTAGAGCTCTGAGATGGTGTATCTGTAAGTTTGTTCAAGTCCATGTTTCACAGCCATATACAAAGGTGCTAATAAGTTAGAGCTCTGAGATGGTGTATCTGTAAGTTTGTTCAAGTCCATGTTTCACAGCCATATACAAAGGTACTAATAAGTTAGAGCTCTGAGATGGTGTATCTGTAAGTTTGTTCAAGTCCATGTTTCACAGCCATATACAAAGGTACTAATAAGTTAGAGCTCTGAGATGGTGTATCTGTAAGTTTGTTCAAGTCCATGTTTCACAGCCATATACAAAGGTACTAATAAGTTAGAGCTCTGAGATGGTGTATCTGTAAGTTTGTTCAAGTCCATGTTTCACAGCCATATACAAAGGTACTAATAAGTTAGAGCTCTGAGCAGGCGTATCTGTAAGTTTGTTCAAGTCCATGTTTCACAGCCATATACAAAGGTACTAATAAGTTAGAGCTCTGAGATGGTGTATCTGTAAGTTTGTTCAAGTCCATGTTTCACAGCCATATACAAAGGTACTAATAAGTTAGAGCTCTGAGATGGTGTATCTGTAAGTTTGTTCAAGTCCATGTTTCACAGCCATATACAAAGGTACTAATAAGTTAGAGCTCTGAGATGGTGTATCTGTAAGTTTGTTCAAGTCCATGTTTCACAGCCATATACAAAGGTACTAATAAGTTAGAGCTCTGAGATGGTGTATCTGTAAGTTTGTTCAAGTCCATGTTTCACAGCCATATACAAAGGTGCTAATAAGTTAGAGCTCTGAGATGGTGTATCTGTAAGTTTGTTCAAGTCCATGTTTCACAGCCATATACAAAGGTACTAATAAGTTAGAGCTCTGAGATGGTGTATCTGTAAGTTTGTTCAAGTCCATGTTTCACAGCCATATACAAAGGTACTAATAAGTTAGAGCTCTGAGCAGGCGTATCTGTAAGTTTGTTCAAGTCCATGTTTCACAGCCATATACAAAGGTACTAATAAGTTAGAGCTCTGAGATGGTGTATCTGTAAGTTTGTTCAAGTCCATGTTTCACAGCCATATACAAAGGTACTAATAAGTTAGAGCTCTGAGATGGTGTATCTGTAAGTTTGTTCAAGTCCATGTTTCACAGCCATATACAAAGGTACTAATAAGTTAGAGCTCTGAGATGGTGTATCTGTAAGTTTGTTCAAGTCCATGTTTCACAGCCATATACAAAGGTACTAATAAGTTAGAGCTCTGAGATGGTGTATCTGTAAGTTTGTTCAAGTCCATGTTTCACAGCCATATACAAAGGTGCTAATAAGTTAGAGCTCTGAGATGGTGTATCTGTAAGTTTGTTCAAGTCCATGTTTCACAGCCATATACAAAGGTACTAATAAGTTAGAGCTCTGAGCAGGCGTATCTGTAAGTTTGTTCAAGTCCATGTTTCACAGCCATATACAAAGGTGCTAATAAGTTAGAGCTCTGAGATGGTGTATCTGTAAGTTTGTTCAAGTCCATGTTTCACAGCCATATACAAAGGTACTAATAAGTTAGAGCTCTGAGCAGGCGTATCTGTAAGTTTGTTCAAGTCCATGTTTCACAGCCATATACAAAGGTACTAATAAGTTAGAGCTCTGAGCAGGCGTATCTGTAAGTTTGTTCAAGTCCATGTTTCACAGCCATATACAAAGGTACTAATAAGTTAGAGCTCTGAGCAGGCGTATCTGTAAGTTTGTTCAAGTCCATGTTTCACAGCCATATACAAAGGTACTAATAAGTTAGAGCTCTGAGATGGTGTATCTGTAAGTTTGTTCAAGTCCATGTTTCACAGCCATATACAAAGGTGCTAATAAGTTAGAGCTCTGAGATGGTGTATCTGTAAGTTTGTTCAAGTCCATGTTTCACAGCCATATACAAAGGTACTAATAAGTTAGAGCTCTGAGCAGGCGTATCTGTAAGTTTGTTCAAGTCCATGTTTCACAGCCATATACAAAGGTACTAATAAGTTAGAGCTCTGAGCAGGCGTATCTGTAAGTTTGTTCAAGTCCATGTTTCACAGCCATATACAAAGGTACTAATAAGTTAGAGCTCTGAGCAGGCGTATCTGTAAGTTTGTTCAAGTCCATGTTTCACAGCCATATACAAAGGTGCTAATAAGTTAGAGCTCTGAGCAGGCGTATCTGTAAGTTTGTTCAAGTCCATGTTTCACAGCCATATACAAAGGTACTAATAAGTTAGAGCTCTGAGATGGTGTATCTGTAAGTTTGTTCAAGTCCATGTTTCACAGCCATATACAAAGGTACTAATAAGTTAGAGCTCTGAGGTGGTGTATCTGTAAGTTTGTTCAAGTCCATGTTTCACAGCCATATACAAAGGTACTAATAAGTTAGAGCTCTGAGATGGTGTATCTGTAAGTTTGTTCAAGTCCATGTTTCACAGCCATATACAAAGGTACTAATAAGTTAGAGCTCTGAGATGGTGTATCTGTAAGTTTGTTCAAGTCCATGTTTCACAGCCATATACAAAGGTACTAATAAGTTAGAGCTCTGAGATGGTGTATTTGTGTTTCCTATCTTCTACTTATTTTTTAATTGGTCTTTTTTTTTTTTTTTAAATCAATCATTCCATGCCCTTATAAAACTTTCCTGCTAACACAACCTTTGGTCACCTCTCATGTTCTCCTTCATGTTCACACCACAACTTGTTCAACACTTCTTCTTTTCGGCTTACAAACCACTGGTTCTTATGCCCTAGAATTCACACTCTTTTTTGTTTTCCTCTCTTTATCCACTTTACTGTTTCCACCCCCCACCCCTTATTTATTTGTTCTAATTCTGTTCCTTTTCTCTTCTCTAAAATACTGAAGACAGTAAATCACCTGTCACTGTCCAGACAGCAGGTCACCAGACTGTCAATCAGAATGCCATGGGCGTCAGAGTCCTGGATGTAACCAACAACCTTGAATGCTGAACACAGGGTCTCCCTCTGTAGCAGGTCCACATCCCACCTGTAAAGACACACAAACATCACATGTCCTCACAAAGACACACAAACATCACATGTCCTCACAAAGACATAAAACATCACATGTCCTCACAAAGACACACAAACATCACATGTCCTCACAAAGACATAAAACATCACATGTCCTCACAAAGACATAAAACATCACATGTCCTCACAAAGACACACAAACATCACATGTCCTCACAAAGACATAAAACATCACATGTCCTCACAAAGACATAAAACATCACATGTCCTCACAAAGACATAAAACATCACATGTCCTCACAAAGATACACAAACATCACATGTCCTCACAAAGACACATAAACATCACATGTCCTCACAAAGACATAAAACATCACATGTCCTCACAAAGACATAAAACATCACATGTCCTCACAAAGACACACAAACATCACATGTCCTCACAAAGACACACAAACATCACATGTCCCCACAAAGATACATAAACATCCCATGTCCTCACAAAGATACATAAACATCACATGTCCTCACAAAGATACATAAACATCACATGTCATCACAAAGATACACAAACATCACATGTCCTCACAAAGACACACAAACATCACATGTCCTCACAAAGATACATAAACATCACATGTCCTCACAAAGACACATAAACATCACATGTCCTCACAAAGACATAAAACATCACATGTCCTCACAAAGACATAAAACATCACATGTCCTCACAAAGACATAAAACATCACATGTCCTCACAAAGACATAAAACATCACATGCCCTCACAAAGACATAAAACATCACATGTCCTCACAAAGACACACAAACATCACATGTCCTCACAAAGACACACAAACATCACATGTCCTCACAAAGATACACAAACATCACATGTCCTCACAAAGACACATAAACATCACATGTCCTCACAAAGACATAAAACATCACATGTCCTCAAAAAGACATAAAACATCACATGTCCTCACAAAGACACACAAACATCACATGTCCTCACAAAGACACACAAACATCACATGTCCTCACAAAGATACACAAACATCACATGTCCTCACAAAGATACATAAACATCACATGTCCTCACAAAGATACATAAACATCACATGTCCTCACAAAGATACACAAACATCACATGTCCTCACAAAGATACACAAACATCACATGTCCTCACAAAGATACATAAACATCACATGTCCTCACAAAGATACACAAACATCACATGTCCTCACAAAGACACACAAACATCACATGTCCTCACAAAGACACACAAAATATCACATGTCCTCACAAAGATACATAAAACATCACATGTCCTCACAAAGACATGTGAAACATCACATGTCCTCACAAAGACACATGAAACATCACATGTCCTCACAAAGACATAAAACATCACATGTTCTCACAAAGACATGTGAAACATCACATGTCCTCACAAAGACATAAAACATCACATGTCCTCACAAAGACATGTGAAACATCACATGTCCTCACAAAGACATAAAACATCACATGTCCTCACAAAGACACGTGAAACATCACATGTCCTCACAAATCCCACCTGTAAAGACACACAAAACATCACATGTCCTCACACAGGTGTTACAGTTATTTATATAATACAGAAAACACCTCCTTCCAAAAATTCACATAATTTTTCCTCTCCTTCACAAAGACTGACTAAAGCAATGCAGAGGTGAACAGCATGAAGGACCGATGGCACAACACCAGGAAACAAATTCAAGTAACATTAATGAGAACATGCATTTTTCTGTTAACAGTTTATGGATGTCAGTCATCAACCACTTTACAATCTTTCAATTAGAAAAATTAGGGCTCTTAAACATGCTTTATTTAGAGTAAATGATAAAGGTCTTAATCTTTTTACGCCAGTGTTGCTTCGGCCATATGAAATGAGTCTCATATTTCTATAGACCAATCAGCTCTAAGTGCATGATGTGGTTAACAACACATCGTTCCCTCTTTACAATATCTGGTACAAATTTAAAAGCTTGGCTGACATGCATGCAAAGGTGAATTCTGAAGAGAAATAAATCTTCCACATTGTGGATTCCAACCCAAGACCTTTGGGTCAGCAGGTTTTTGCCTAGCCACTACACCACCTTCGCTCCCTTGAACTTAAATACTACAGAGAAATTCATAGAACCTGTGGAGCAAGGAGATTGAAAATGCTAACATTCTACAAGATCTGAGCCAAAAGGAAAATTGCTTCACAGAATAGTATCACTCTTTGAAACCAATATCCTCTGGTTATATTCAATGCTCCATGTGAGGGTTCTGGGAGCCTAGTGTAGGGAAATATGAAGAGACCTACTGCCTCCCCCCACCCCCCAGAAAAGCAGCTTGTATGAGTTGACTCAATGGGGGCTTCCTTCCAAGTGGGACTGCATCTGTCTGAGAGGCAAGGAACCAGACAAATAAGCCTGTAGCCTGCACTCAAGGTTCTGGAAGAACTTTCTGCCGGAGATTACAGCCATGACTGCAAAGAAGAAGATGTGGGTGGTTAAGACAGATCAGTTCTGAAAGATTTGATTCCTGAAGACACTGGCAAGGGTTAACGGCACAAAGATCTTAGGAAACAGACCAGGGAAAGCAAGGGAAGATGCCTCACAGGATGATAGTGTGGTATATGTGTCAGAAATGTATATCAACAAAATAGACCGCAACTCTAGAGATCCATGTGGTTGGGACCATAAATAAAAGAAGTACAGAAATGCCAGGTCAAAAAACATGTGGCAGGGACTATAAGTAGAAGGAGTACAGAAATGGCATGTCAAAAACATGTGGCAGGGATTCAAAAGCAGAATGAGTATCGAGTGTGTGATGTCGATTCTTGATCCATTAATTCATAGAACACGTGGCCACTAGTAACATTTGTAGAAAAAGAGACTGAGGAAGACAAAGTGAGAAGTTTCTTGACAGCCTTTTGTCATGTATAGAGGAATGTCAGCACATGGACTGATAGATGTTGCTGAAGGCTGTCGACTGCGAACAGGCATGATTGCCTCATTCGCTAGTCGACAAGGCACTTCAAGATGATGATGATTCCACAGATTACATTTTAAAAACATAAATAACAAGCAAGAGGAGCATACCCTTCATCTCTACAGGAAAGAATATCCCGCAGCTCGCTGGCTTGTTTGACAATGTCAGAATGGTCCTGTAAGAATAATACCTTGCTTGTTATATTGTTAGACTCAGTTACTTGGTTTTAATTTGTCATACACACTGCTTGATCTGGCATAATGTTACATATAGTGCTAGGTCTAATAATTAATTACTTATCAAGGTCAATTACTCAGAGGCATTTCTGGTAAAAATATTCTTTAAAAAAAACGTACATATTTCAAGGTTGATTGTTAATTTATTTACTTATATTTATACATTTTTGTTTTAAAATATATAAAACATATATAAAGGGGAGATCAATAAACATGAATAGAGTGAAGCATTAAATGTAGTACATTCCCCCGGGCATTTCAAACAAATGCTTTTGCCAGCTAATGCCATGACGCCGTGACCTCCACCGCTGAGGCGTACAGGAACATTTAACATCAACTTGACTCTTTCAAAAAGCCATTGGAGTCATAAGAAAACCCCTTTTAAATGTTATTTTTAGCTGCTTTATTCATAACCTGCCTTCCCCCTGGGGGTTCCAGGGCCCAATTATTGGGGGGGGGAGTAGACTTGGCCCACTGGCCCCCCCCCCCCCCTCTCTTCCCCCAGCATGTCAAAAGTTGACTAATTAGGAGTTTTCTTCCAAGGTGAAGTGCATCTCTTGAGAGGCAAGAAACCAACAGTCTGTATACCAACAGTCTGTATACCAACAGTCTGTATACAACAACAGTCTGTATACAACAACAGTCTGTATACCAACAGTCTGTATACCAACAGTCTGTACACCAACAGTCTGTACACCAACAGTCTGTACACCAACAGTCTGTACACCAACAGTCTGTACACCAACAGTCTGTACACCAACAGTCTGTACACCAACAGTCTGTATACAACAGTCTGTATACAACAGTCTGTATACAACAGTCTGTATACAACAGTCTGTATACAACAGTCTGTATACCAACAGTCTGTATACAACAGTCTGTATACCAACAGTCTGTATACCAACAGTCTGTATTCCAACAGTCTGTATACCAACAGTCTGTATACCAACAGTCTGTACACCAACAGTCTGTATACCAACAGTCTGTATACCAACAGTCTGTAAACAAATAACCCAGATATCTAGAACAAGTTCTGAAACAAGATTTAAGTCTGGAAGTGGACAAACAACCAGAACTTTCCGCCAGAGTTTACAGCCAGTAAAAGCAAGAATAAGAAGCTGTGCTAGCCAATCAAACAGTACACAGGGGCAGACAGGACCAACAGAATTTAACTACACTTGTCTAGAGCAGGTAACTGCAGACATGGCCATCTATGCATTTACAGGAACATGGCATAACCGGACATGACTAGATTTAGCTTTCTCAGGGGAAAGGATTAAACAAGCACTGGAGGACTGAGCATGCATGTGAACGCCCAATGTGCAAGGATGTTGACTGTGATAACACAACAATAGGCAGCAGGTAATTTTCACAATTTTCTGGGAACTGTTCCCAGGAACCAGCCACCTATCCATCATAAGATGTAGAATAAGGGAAAGCATAACATTTCATGCCCCAATTGTAACATTGTTGTGAAACTGTCAAAGTATCTAAGGTACCAAAGATCCTAAAGTTAACAATGCCCAAAAAGGAACAAAGACCGGAAAAGGCTTGGCGTCCATTTACTGTCGGTATTCAGGAAATCAGTGTGGTTGATTCAGGAAACATGCTACACAATGAAGTGGTGACGCCAGACGAACAAATAGCCTCACAGTCACTCTCATTCAACCAATGGATTACCTGCTCAATAGTTTTACCACTAACAAGTCATGCCAACACCTACACTGACAGTATTCCAAATTCCACTCTGCCGATAAACAAAGTTAAACTAGATAGTCCATGCGCTCCAACAGAAAAAAAGAACATACTCGTGGAGTCCATGAATTTAAAACAACACAACTTCCACACTCGTCCAGTGGCCAAAGTATTTACACTCACTTCGTTCACTCATATCATAATTTGTAATGTACATTTTGACACCTTCTGACAGACATGCATTCTGACAGCACAGTTAACACACAACAGACATCTGTGACAGGGCTGCTTTTACTGTCTTTTGACACTTACAATGAAGCTAAGATAAGGTCAGCCCTAACTCACCACAAGTTTTAAAAAGCCATAAACCACAATAATACAACATGACTACCACCCATTTGAAGACGAAAAAAGAAGAAGAAGACATACCTCAGACCAGTAAATGTTGGCACACAGGAAGGGAATCTTGTCCCAGGTGTTAAAGAACAGTTGTTTCTTTAGGGCCGGCTTTTCTACTAAGTCCTGCAAAATAAATATACATATAGGTAACTGTATGTCCTTTAGCGAATATACTTATTCGAAAAAGTATTTTTTCCAAGAACTGAAATAATGTAGAAACAAACTATTTGATATATGAAAGTGACTGGCTAAGGGGTTTTGGACACAGCTTCATAATTCTAACACATTAAGGTTTCAAGCCAACCACAGGTGATTTGATGCTCTGTGCTGATTTTGACAGCAGTATAAGACAAATAACCAGAATATCTTTGAATGTTCTTCTCATGAAGAGAAATGATCGCCAAAATCAGGAGACAATCTACATTCTTTAGTGATGACATGAGAAGGAGAAAAACTGGAGTAAATAGTGACGATGGCAAAGTTGAAGGGAAAACAAAGCAGAGGAGACCAAAAGAGAAGATGCTAGACAGTCTGGCATTATGGCATGGAAGATGATGTGTCAGAAATTATTGAACAGACAGAAAAATAGAAGGTTGTGGTTAGACATGACTACCAACACTACATAGCATGGACTATAAAAAGAATAGGGGACAGAAGGTTTTGGATAGGCCTGACGACCAACACCTTACAACATGGACTATAAGAAGAAGACACATCAGCAACCCATTCAGTAAGCAACCATAAACTAGCGAATGCAAAACTGCCTAGTAAAGTCGCAAAAGAGCCAAAATTCTGAGTTTGGTCTGCAATGTCCTATCAAGGATGTGTAACTAACATTGTTACTAAAGAGGGAAGACAAGAAAGACAACCAAACATTAACATACAACAACAGAGATTCATTACCTTGATAGCAGTTTCTTCCTCTGTGCACCTGGCCTTGCATCTCCAGGCAACCTCCTGGGAGAACCTCACATCAGTGTCGCAAAGATCCACAACCAGCTTTTGTCCGATCCCATAACATGCATCAACCTTGCTTACAACCTGAAAAATAACATGTATAATACATAAACTGATCATGTAACATACATCAACTTTACTTACAACCTACAACACAACTAGCATAAATTTTATGTACAACCTGAAACATAATCTGTTCTGTAAACGCATAACCTCCTCTATAAATACACTGCTCTTAGCCTTAGCTGGAAGCTGGTCTAGAAAAGAAGCTCCAACTGGCATGCAGAAAGAGCAGGACAGTGGTCAGTATCATGATGTCCACATCTGATTCCAGAAGATTCTCTGGTACTAATTCTAGTCTAGATAAACCTAAAAGCTCCAGTTAATTTCTGACAGACACTGCCACCACAGAGATCTGAGCACAAGATCGCCGTGGTGCTGGGCAAATATGGAAGCTACTGTGTCACTTCATCTCCTCATTAAAATTATACTTCTTCTTCTTCTTTTCTTCCACCTTGTCCCTCATTGAAGTGTTGTGGGGGAGATGTAATGTTCGTTGATGAGCTCTGTCAAGAGCACTATTAAGACTGATGTTAATTTCTGTAAGGCTTTTCTTAATGCCATCACTCCATATTTTCAGAGGTCTTCCACTTGCTCTATACCCGTTGTAACGTTGTAGTGTGGCTCGCTGTGGCAGATAGTACCAGGGCATTCTTGTTAGGTGTCCAAACCACTTCATTTGTTGTTCTTCGATGACCTGTAAGACTGGCTTTATTCCTAGCATTCCTCTGATTTCGTGATTTTGTATTCTGTCTTTCCTTGAAACTCCTGCAGCTCTTCTAAGGCATTTCCTCTCTGTTGTCACAATTTTACATTCATTGAAGGATGTAAGTGTCCACGTTTGGCATTGATAGCATAGTGTTGGCCAAAAAATAGTATTACAGTTATACTGTATATACTGTTACAGACACTATTATAATTAGCGTTAACAGAAAGAATCTAAAAGGACTGACGATTGAAGGCTAAGTGCCCAATAGCAGTCTGATTACAGAATCAACATCAGAGCACATGGGCATTCCCACAGATGCTCCGTCTCTCTACAGCAAATGTCTTAAGGTGTAGATGCTAACTGTTCTTATAGTACATTGATCACACACGTGTCTTCTTGTCCTCTTATATGTCCCTTCTTGCCAAATCCATTGAAATTCCCTGATCACACATTCTTACATTTGTTCCATCTGACCTCCTGTCTTCTATCAGTATTCATTCATAAATGGTCTTCAGAATACCTCCTTTGTCCAGTATGAGTGTTACTGTAGCTATTACTTTTGTAGCCACTCACATACAACCACTCTTTCATTCCCTCACACTCCTTCATATCCCAGACTCCATATCTATGTGAGTCTCTATAATGCTGACAAGCCGATGCCTGGTATCCACTTGTGAATCTTCCTCAGTACTGACGAGGATCAGACACTATAATTCCTCCGTTAACTCGATTCTTCTGCTATTCAGTTCAGAGCTACAGTGATTACCTCAAAGCCCATCCTCAGCCTTCAACAGCAGTCACCATCCATCAATTGTAACATTAATCTACAATATCACTCAGATACCACGGCCATCCTCAAATACATGACAAGCAGTAAGGAACCCCCGCGGCCATCCTCAAATACATGACAAGCAGTAAGGAACCCCAGCGGCCATCCTCAAATACATGACAAGCAGTAAGGAACCCCAGCGGCCATCCTCAAATACATGACAAGCAGTAAGGAACCCCAGCGGCCATCCTCAAATACATGACAAGCAGTAAGGAACCCCCCCGGCCATCCTCAAATACATGACAAGCAGTAAGGAACCCCAGACGCCATCCTCAAATACATGACAAGCAGTAAGGAACCCTCGCGGCCATCCTCAAATACATGACAAGCAGTAAGGAACCCCAGACGCCATCCTCAAATACATGACAAGCAGTAAGGAACCCCAGACACCATCCTCTAATACATGACAAGCAGTAAGGAACCCCAGAGGCCATCCTCAAATACATGACAAGCAGTAAGGAACCCCCGCGGCCATCCTCAAATACATGACAAGCAGTAAGGAACCCCAGACGCCATCCTCAAATACATGACAAGCAGTAAGGAACCCCCGCGGCCATCCTCAAATAAATGACAAGCAGTAAGGAACCCCCGCGGCCATCCTCAAATACATGACAAGCAGTAAGGAACCCCAGACGCCATCCTCAAATACATGACAAGCAGTAAGGAACCCCCGCGGCCATCCTCAAATACATGACAAGCAGTAAGGAACCCCCGCGGCCATCCTCAAATACATGACAAGCAGTAAGGAACCCCAGACGCCATCCTCAAATACATGACAAGCAGTAAGGAACCCCCGCGGCCATCCTCAAATACATGACAAGCAGTAAGGAACCCCCGCGGCCATCTTGGCTGATGTTACACCATGCTCAGAATATAATGATTACCATAAAACAAGTCACATGACATGCAGGACATATTTTGTGAAAACTATCTACCTTAGCAAAGAGTTTCTTTTTTTCTTCATTCGCAAAGTAGGCCAGATCACAAATAACATCTGCAGCCTGCCTATCCCACCTGGAACCTACAGAACAATGTAAGAAACAAATTACTTCACATAATACATTCTCATTTTCCAGTGTTGAACAGGACAACAAAAACTTCAAAAGCATCTGTATTGACATCCAAGCACATCAGTCTGACCCATTCATGATCAGTCCTCCCATGCGGCAGCAACCTCAGTGTTTGAATCCACAACGTACCCAGTAAGTAGGACCTCACTGACACATCTTATTTCTTTGCTCCGCAACTGGTTTCTGCATGCCTGTCCTCCTTAATACCCATTTCCAGCAGGCAGTTTACTGTCTCTCCTCTGTCTCAAAGCAGCAAATACAGTTTGTCTGTTCTGTACATACTTCTTCCTCTACTAACTAGTGAGAACCCGGTCATTTCCTTTCAACCCAGCACGACCTGGTGTGTACAACCAGGACAGTTACGCCTTGCGGGAATTCTGGATGTTGTCAATCCATTCCATTCGGGAGTTTGCTAGTTTGTATCTTCTTAAACATGGTCACCAAGTCCGTCACTACTAAAACACCGAGTCCGTCACTAACAAAAGCTTTGCATGGTCACTGAGTTCATCACTAACAAAAGCTCTGCATGGTCACTGAGTCCGTCACTAACAAAAGCTCTGCATGGTCACTGAGTCCGTCACTAACAAAAGCTCTGCATGGTCACTGAGTCCGTCACTAACAAAAGCTCTGCATGGTCACTGAGTCCGTCACTTAACAAAAGCTCTGCATGGTCACTGAGTCCGTCACTAACAAAACACTGAGTCCGTCACTAACAAAAGCTCTGCATGGTCACTGAGTCCGTCACTAACAAAAGCTCTGCATGGTCACTGAGTCCGTCACTAACAAAAGTTCTGCATGGTCACTGAGTCCGTCACTAACAAAAGTTCTGCATGGTCACTGAGTCCGTCACTAACAAAAGCTCTGCATGGTCACTGAGTCCATCACTAACAAAAGCTCTGCATGGTCACTGAGTCCGTCACTAACAAAAGCTCTGCAACTGTTTCATTAAATTAGCAAAATGTCAGTAAAAAGCCCTTTTTTACGCCAACAGTGAACCAGCGTAAAACAGAACCAGAACTATATTTATATATAGATATGGGCTCTTGACAGTTGATGTGATCAACATCTGGCTGACCACCCAGAAGATTTCCTGGTATCTAATTTAGACTGGATCAACACAGGAGCTCAGGTAAACTACAGTAAAAAATTATCAATGTGGCCTTACTTAAGAAGAACACTTGTTTAACATGAACAAAATGTTGGTCCGAGCAGGGCAGAATTACTGTTATCAGTATTTTGCTGGCACATATTAATTTAAACACAAAGTCGTGTTCTGGTCCCTTCAAATTTGTTTTAACCAGGTTTAAGTGAATCAAAATCTGCTTTTATGCAGATTCGTACCAAAGACCTTTGGGCGAGAACCTATTTATATGTATGGAAATAATCTTTTCATTTTCCTTTCAGTATTTATCTAACTTTCGTATTTCTGCCAAAGAGCTGCCATTCAAAATATCCACTGTAAATCTGTAAACTAGATGGGAAAAAAGAGTCAGCCGAAGATAGAGAGATGAATAAACATCTGGAAATCTCGGCAAAGGGTATTTAGCATGGCGTATTGTGGTTTACAGCTAGGCTGCAATGTATGCACCTTTCATCCAACATATCCACCTACAGCCAATCTCGACTTAGTCATCATTCATGACAAGCTAAGGAAGGATAGAAAACCATGGACAGACAGAAAACACGTTTTCCTGGCTGTTCATACACTCCTGAATTCTGGTTTTCATCCAGAATTCGAGTTTTGTGTGCACATCCCTTTTACAGATCTGACTTACTTGTAAGCAGTCTGTTGGTTCCTCACTTCTCCCACAGATGCACTCCGATTTCGAAGTAACGACCCCTTACTAGACTTGACCTATGACATGCATGTTGGGGGGGGGCAGTGGGTCTATTCTTTGTTCTCCACAACGGGGTCCCAGAACCCACACAGGGAATACAAAGAGTTGATGATACTAAAGGTGTACCCTCTGCTCCAAGAGTAGACAGTTGAGACCTCCTGTCTACATGTGACCTTACCTGGAGGTTGGATGTAGGCCAGCAGACACTCAATGGCCTGGCAGGGCAGTTCAGCTAGCTCTCTGGGCAGGGGTCTCACGTGGCTTTTGAGGATCTTCTCCTTGTCACCGTAGTCTAGGAAAAACACCAACCACTTGCCAGAGATCAGCTCAGTGACAATCTGAGCCCTGTACCATCTGGCAACAACAACAAAACCCAGGTCAGGCTGTACTGAACAAGCTGTGCTGCAATTTACGACACATAATCCAAATATTCCATTGCTAAACACCATTATATTCAAATATTCCATTGCTAAAAACCATTATATCCAAATATTCCATTGCTAAACACCATTATATCCCAATATTCCATTGCTAAACACCATTATATTCAAATATTCCATTGCTAAACACCATTATACCCAAAAATTCCATTGCTAAACACCATTATATCCATATATTCAATTGCTAAACACCATTATATCCATATATTCAATTGCTAAACACCATTATATCCATATATTCAATTGCTAAACACCATTATATCCATATATTCAATTGCTAAACACCATTAAATCCATACATTCTGCTGTAAGAGCTGAACACACACACATGTTAACTCCTACCTGTTGTCTGCTGTGAGAGCTGAATACACATACATGTTAACTCCTACTTGTCTGCTGTGAGAGCTGAATACACACACACACATGTTAACTCCTACCTGTTGTCCACAGAGAGCTAAACACACACACATGTTAACTCCTACCTGTTGTCTGCAGTGAGAGCTGAACACACACACATGTTAACTCCTACCTGTTGTCCACAGAGAGCTAAACACACACACATGTTAACTCCTACCTATCTGCTGTGAGAGCTGAACACACACACACACATGTTAACTCCTACCTGTTGTCTGCTGTGAGAGCTGAACACACATGTTAACTCCTACCTGTTGTCCACAGAGAGAGCTAAACACACACACATTTTAACTACACGTGTTAACTCCTACCTATTTTCCACAGAGAGCTAAACACACACATGTTAACTCCTACCTGTTGTCTGCTGTGAGAGCTGAACACACACACATGTTAACTCCTACCTGTTGTCCACAGAGAGCTAAACACACACATGTTAACTCCTACCTGTTATCTGCTGCAAGAGCTGAAAACACACACATGTTAACTCCTACCTATCTGCTGTGAGAGCTGAACACACACACATGTTAACTCCTACCTGTTGTCCAAAGAGAGCTAAACACACACATGTTAACTCCTACCTGTTGTCCACAGAGAAAGCTAAACACACACACATGTTAACTCCTACCTGTTATCTGCTGTGAGAGCTGAACACACACACACACACACACACACATGTTAACTCCTACCTGTTGTCCACAGAGAGAGCTAAACACACACACATTTTAACTCCTACCTGTTGTCCACAGAGAGACCTAAACATACACACATGTTAACTCCTACCTATTGTCCACAGAGAGCTAAACACACACAAATGTTAACTCCTATCTGTTGTGCACAGAGAGAGCTAAACACACACCAGCTAACTCTTTCCTGTTGTCCACAGAGAGAACTAAACACACACAAGCTCACTTTTACCTGTTGTCCGCAGAGAGAGCTAAACACACACACAAGCTAACTGCTACCTGTTGTCCACTGAGAGAGCTAAACACACACAAGCTAACTGCTACCTGTTGTCCACAGAGAGAGCTAAACACACATATGTTAACTCCTACCTGTTGTCCGCAGAGAGAGCTAAACACACACAAGCTAACTCTTACCTGTTGTCCACAGAGAGAGATAAACACACACATGTTAACTCCTACCTGTTGTCAACGGAGAGAGCTAAATACACACATGTTAACTCCTACCTGCTGTCCACAGAGAGAGCAAAACACACACAAGCTAACTGCTACCTGCTGTCCACTGAGAGAGCTAAACACACACAAGCTAACTGCTACCTGTTGTCCACAGAGAGAGCTAAACACACACAAGCTGCTACCTGTTGTCTGCAGAGAGAGTTAAACACACACAAGCTAACTGCTACCTGTTGTCCACAGAGTGAGCTAAACACACACAAGCTAACTGCTACCTGTTGTCTGCAGAGAGAGCTAAACACACACAAGCTAACTGCTACCTGTTGTCTGCAGAGAGAGCTAAACACACACAAGCTAACTGCTACCTGTTGTCTGCAGAGAGAGCTAAACACACACAAGCTAACTGCTACCTGTTGTCTGCAGAGAGAGCTAAACACACACAAGCTAACTGCTACCTGTTGTCCGCAGAGAGAGGTAAACACAAAAAAGCTAACTTTTACCTGCTGTCCACTGAAAGAGCTAAACACACACAAGCTAACTGCTACTTGCTGTCCACTGGGAGAGCTAAACACCCACAAGCTAACTTCTAACTGTTGTCTGCAGAGAGAGCTAAACACACACAAGCTAACTGCTACCTGTTGTCTGCAGAGAGAGCTAAACACACACAAGCTAACTGCTACCTGTTGTCTGCAGAGAGAGCTAAACACACACAAGCTAACTGCTACCTGTTGTCTGCAGAGAGAGCTAAACACACACAAGCTAACTGCTACCTGTTGTCTGTAGAGAGAGCTAAACACACACAAGCTAACTGCTACCTGTTGTCTGCAGAGAGAGCTAAACACACACAAGCTAACTGCTACCTGTTGTCTGCAGAGAGAGCTAAACACACACAAGCTAACTGCTACCTGTTGTCCGCAGAGAGAGCTAAACACACAAGCTAACTGCTACCTGTTGTCTGCAGAGAGAGCTAAACACACACACACACAAGCTAACTGCTACCTGTTGTCTACAGAGAGAGCTAAACACACACAAGCTAACTACTACCTGTTGTCTGCAGAGAGAGCTAAACACACACAAGCTAACTGCTACCTGTTGTCTGCAGAGAGAGCTAAACACACACAAGCTAACTGCTACCTGTTGTCCGCAGAGAGAGCTAAACACACAAGCTAACTGCTACCTGTTGTCTGCAGAGAGAGCTAAACACACACAAGCTAACTGCTACCTGTTGTCTACAGAGAGAGCTAAACACACACAAGCTTACTTTTACCTGTTGTCCGTAGAGAGAGCTAAACATACACAAGCTTATTCCTACCTGTTGTCTGCAGAGAGAGCTAAACACACACAAGCTAACTGCTACCTGTTGTCTACAGAGAGAGCTAAACACACACAAGCTTACTTTTACCTGTTGTCCGTAGAGAGAGCTAAACATACACAAGCTTATTCCTACCTGTTGTCTGCAGAGAGAGCTAAACACACACTGCCCTTCTCAAGCTGCATGTCCACATCAACCTTATGCTGCTCCAGATCATTTTTCTCCTTCTCTTGCTTAACAACCTCCGCAATCCTCGTCTCCAGTGCTTCCAACCTGATGGGTAGACAACATGGATGGGTAGACAACATAAATGGGTTGACAACAAGGAGGATTGCCTAGATAACAATGACATGATAACATGACAAAATAACATTCATAAGATTACACATCGATACAAGATATCACTGATAACAAGATCCTTTAATCAATCAGCAAGTCCTTTACAGAAAGTCTTCCTTTCTCCAGCCAAATCTCCAGCCCTGTGTGCTTTCCTAGCCAATGCATCTTCAATCTCCAGTATACACTCTCGCAGAGGTCCGCCTCTGTCTCATTTCCCAAACCATGCACCCTCCATCACTGTTTGCTCTAGACCAGTGACTGGCACATTGCGGCTCGCGGGCTGCATGCGGCGTTATCGACCTGGGTAAGGTTCGGCCAGTCGCCCCTAAATCGGTTTTGACTCAGAAAAACATGGCTCTTGACTGGTTCTTGAAAAGAAATTTGGCACTCAGACATTTTTTTTACTGTTTTGCTGTTGATTTTTGGCTCTTTTGACTCAAGAGTTTACCAACCACCGCTCTACACCAAAATGGCAACAAAACCATAAAATATGACAATAGAAAACAATAAAATGAAACAAAAGAACCTACAAACAATAAAAGGGAAAAGACCTACAGTTCAAAGTTCTCCCACTTGTGCACATAGAACAAATCAGGGCTGATCACTGCGGCAATGCTGACTTCATGAAACCCATCCCCTTCTGTCAGACTTTCCTGTCTCATCTCCATCTGCCTGGAAATACAAGAGAACCACAGGAATATCAGAGAAACATGGCCATTTGATATGATGTAAAGGTTGACTAACTGGTTGACTGAGTGACTGTTTACTGAGTGATTGACTGGTTAACTGATTACTGAGAGACTGACTGGTTGACTGAGTGACTGTTTACTGAGTGACTGACTGGTTAATTGATTACTGAGAGACTGACTGGTTGACTGAGTGACTGTTTACTGAGTGACTGACTGGTTAACTGATTACTAAGAGACTGAATGGTTGACTGATTACTGAGAGACTGACTGGTTGACTGAGTGACTGGTTACTGAGTTACTGACTGGTTAATTGATTACTGAGAGACCGACTGGTTGACTGAGTGACTGTCTACTGAGTGACTGACTGGTTAACTGATTACTGAGAGACCGACTGGTTGACTGAGTGACTGTTTACTGAGTGACTGGCTGGTTAATTGATTACTGAGAGACCGACTGGTTGACTGAGTGACTGTTTACTGAGTGACTGACTGGTTAACTGATTATTGAGAGACCGACTGGTTGACCGAGTGACTGTTTACTGAGTGACTGACTGGTTAACTGATTATTGAGAGACCGACTGGTTGACTGAGTGACTGTTTACTGAGTGACTGACTGGTTAACTGATTACTGAGAGACTGACTGGTTGACTGATTACTGATAGACTGACTAGCTGACTGAGTGACTGTTAACTGAGAGACTGACTGACTGACTGAGTGACTGTTTACTGAGAGACTGACTGGCTGACTGAGTGACTGTTTACTGAGAGATTGACTGGCTGACTGAGTGACTGTTTACTGAGAGACTGACTGGCTGACTAAGTGTATGTTTACTGAGTGACTGTTTACTGAGAGACTGGTGGCTGACTAAGTGACTGTTAACTGAGAGACTGGTGGCTGATTGAGTGACTGTTTACTGAGAGACTGGTGGCTGACTGAGTGACTGTTTACTGAGAGACTGACTGGTTAACTGATTACTAAGAGACTGAATGGTTGACTGATTACTGAGAGACTGACTGGTTGACTGAGTGACTGGTTACTGAGTTACTGACTGGTTAATTGATTACTGAGAGACCGACTGGTTGACTGAGTGACTGTCTACTGAGTGACTGACTGGTTAACTGATTACTGAGAGACCGACTGGTTGACTGAGTGACTGTTTACTGAGTGACTGACTGGTTAACTGATTATTGAGAGACCGACTGGTTGACCGAGTGACTGTTTACTGAGTGACTGACTGGTTAACTGGTTACTGAGAGACCGACTGGTTGACTGAGTGACTGTTTACTGAGTGACTGACTGGTTAACTGATTACTGAGAGACTGACTGGTTGACTGATTACTGATAGACTGACTAGCTGACTGAGTGACTGTTAACTGAGAGACTGACTGGCTGACTGAGTGACTGTTTACTGAGAGACTGACTGGCTGACTGAGTGACTGTTTACTGAGAGATTGACTTCCTGACTAAGTGTATGTTTACTGAGTGACTGTTTACTGAGAGACTGGTGGCTGACTAAGTGACTGTTAACTGAGAGACTGGTGGCTGATTGAGTGACTGTTTACTGAGAGACTGGTGGCTGACTGAGTGACTGTTAACTGAGAGACTGACTGGCTGACTGAGTGACTGTTTACTGAGAGACTTACTGGCTGACTGAGTGACTGTTTACTGAAAGACTGACTGGCTGACTAAGTGTATGTTTACTGAGTGACTGTTTACTGAGAGACTGGTGGCTGACTGAGTGACTGTTTACTGAGAGACTGACTGGCTGACTGAGTGACTGTTTACTGAGAGACTGACTGGCTGATTGAGTAACTGTTTACTGAGAGACTGACTGGCTGACTGAGTGTATGTTTACTGAGAGATTGACTGGCTGACTGATGGACTTTACTGAGAGGCTGACTGAGTGACTGTTTACTGAGAGAATGACTGGTTGATTTATTAGTTCATTGACTGACAGCTGACTGAGTGATTGACTAATTTAGAGACTGAATAATGACTTAACAGTGTGTAATTGACTGAGTGACTGATTTGTTGATCAAATAACTGATTAGTTGACTGAGTTACTGATTAGTTAACAAACTTACTTACTAGTTATCAGTTTGGTGGATTGAGTAATTAACTGATTGACTGACTGGTTGACTGAGTGACTGACCAATTGACTGAGTGATTTATTGGTTGATTTATTAACTTATTGGTTGACTGAGTGACTGATTGGTTGATTGAGTGACTGACTAAACTGAGTGACTGATTGGCTTAGTAAATGGCTGATTATTTGATTCACTAATTGAGTCACTGATTAGTGGCTGATTGGTTGACTGACTAATTAGTGGACTGACTGACTGATCGGTTTACTGACTGACTGATTGGTTGACTGACTGACTGATTGGTTGACTGACTAATTAGTGGACTGACTGACTGATTGGTTGACTGACTAATTAGTGGACTGACTGACTGATTGGTTGACTGACTGATTGGTTAAGTGACTGATTGGTTGACTGACTAATTAGTGGACTGACTGACTGATTGGTTGAGTGACTGATTGGTTAAGTGGCTGATTGGTTAAGTGGCTGATTGGTTAAGTGGCTGATTGGTTAAGTGGCTGATTGGTTAAGTGGCTGATTGGTTAAGTGGCTGATTGGTTAAGTGGCTGATTGGTTAAGTGACTGATTGGTTAAGTGGCTGATTGGTTGACTGACTAATTAGTGGACTGACTGACTGATTGGTTGAGTGGCTGATTGGTTTACTGAGTAACTGATTAGCTGGCTGACTGGTTGACTGAATTACTGATTGGTTGATTGACTGACTGACTGGTTGATTGAGTGGCTGATTGGTTGATTGAATAACTGATTGGTTGACTGAGTGGCCAATTGGTTGATTGAGTGACTGATTGGTTGATTTGATTGAATAGCTGATTGGTTGAGTGGCTGACTGGTTAATTGAGTGGCTGATTGGTTGGTTGATTGAGTCACTGAAGGGTTGACTGAGTGACTGATTGGTTAACTGATTTGCTGACTGACTGACTGGTTGACTGACCTGTTGATTAGCTGATTGATTGGCTGATTGGTTGACTGAGTGGATGACTGAGTGACTGATTAGTTAATTCCCCCCTCCACTATTATTCAGTGGTATTAAGCTGTGATTGAAGAACTGGCAAAACGAGACAAATAATACAGAAACAACACTCACAGAGTATAATCAAAATACTGCCTCATCAGCTTCTCTGAGATGTCAATCTTGCCTCTGAAAAGCTCAAACAAGTTCTGTATGTGCTGGAAACAAAATAAATACACAATGACAGTTGGATATCACTGAACAGGCTGAAGTGACAATTATATTATTCTTTTTCTTTTTTTGGTGTGTTTACCAGTTGTAAACTCCAGCAGAAAATTCTGGTTGTCCATCCATTCATGGACTTTGGCATGTTCCAGAACTTGAGTTTTGTGTCCAACTATATTTTACAGATCTGGCGTATTTATATCTACATGTTGGTTCCTAACCCCTCAGGTAGACGCATTACGACTAATTAGTGACCTCCTATGTCAAGCAGTGGGGGGTTTGGGGAGGGGGTGTCTCTTCTACTTTGAGGTAAAGTGGTAGGTTAAAACATTGTTTGGCCTTTTGTCTTCTACTCTTGGGTGCAGTGAAACTTTGTAGTTTGGCCTGTCCTTTTCTATCCAAGCGTAAAGCAGTATTTTAGTCTTTAGTTTTGATGCTTCTGCCCTGGTGTAGAGAAATACTTCAGTATTGCTGAGGCATTTCAGGATACAAACATTCAATAATTCAGCACAGCACAAACTGATGAGATAAGGTCTAGAAGTGCTAAATATAATGGGGGGAAAGCTGACTAGAAAGTTTAATGGAGGGAGTGGAAAAGATGGGCCCAAATGGAACAGAATGTTTTGACAGAGTGTTAACTGCAACACAAACTGTGACTGGAAAACTCAACTAACAAAACAATAGAGCATCTAAAAAAAAAAAACAAGATCAACATGAAACCAACACAATATGCAAATGGTGGGGGTGTGTTAGACATAAAGGGCTACATTACTATTTAAAAAAAAAAAAGTGTGCAGAAAGAAATGTAAACAAGTTTAATTAATTAATTTATCTTATTCAAATGAATTTTTTTTAAGTTAATTTATTAAAAAACATAACAAACAATGAATCAGACCTAGGGTGATGTTTCTTCCAAGATTTATAGGTAATTTATAGTCAACGGACTCCAACGTAATGTCGAGGGAGCAATCATGTGACCTCTGCTTAATATTATACAATGTAACAGCACTGTAAATGAATCATCACTAACCTCAGGGTTGACTGCTGCAAATTTGTTTCCCAGCAGCTCCTGTCTCACATTGATATCATTGGCCACGCCTACGGATTTCAAGGTCACTTGATGAACCAATGGAAGCAGCCAGACTGTCAGGCCAACACTGCAAATGAAAAACACCAGAAAGTGGTCACTGATTCTGTCCCAGCTTACAGGTACAGCATTTGTAACTGCAGATAAACATGTGTAACTAGTCAATTTGTTACTTGTGTGACTGGACTTCTTATATTTAGTCAGAACAAACTAAAGAAATCTGGCAATGTGTCTGTTTTTATTTAAAAAGTTTTCGGAGGTCTCGATGGCCAAGTGGTCAAGCCATTTGCCTCCCACTCTGAAATGTTGTGGGTTCATTTCATGGCTGCGCCGTTAACTCTCTGAGTCCCAGGTAACACATCATACGTTCATAGGTTCTTACCTAGAAGCCCAATGAACGCATGATATGTCGATTTTGTTCTCTCTTTACTACCCATTGGGCCTGTGATGCTAAACCCCCTGGGACTCAAAGAGTTAAGCTCATGAGTACAGTTTCTACGGAGATCTCTGGAGTTCGTCACCGGAGCTATGGAGTGCGATGCTCTTGGCAGGCAGTCAGCCATTCTGCGGAGAAAGACTGAGCCATATGGGGTCAAACCCAGTGCAATTAAGTCAATCCTGTTGACTTTTAACTTTGTTTTGATTTGCAAGATGTGCATATCTTGTAGCAAAGTAGAAATGAAGGACATTAGTAAATCCTTTTAAAAGTAAAATTATTGCAAAGATCCTGGCTATCCTTCGAATAACGGTCCCAAATTATCGAGGCCGAAAATATACCCTAACAGGGCCTCAGTCACATGTAAATTGCGGACCTCTTTCCAGGGACTATACCGCCACCGCCGAGAGTATCTAAGCCCTGAGAGTAAGGCTAAACTAGATGGCTGGGACTCACGAGCAAATAAAATGAAAGAAACTGCAGGAGATGCTGCTCATGAGTCCCAGCCATCTAGTTTAGCCCCGTTACGTGCGCGTGGGGAATCTCGGCAGTGACTTTAACACGGCGGATGCTTGTCTGCGGCATGCTGGGTATTCGCCGGAAAGATAATAATATAATAAAATATAACAGATGACAGCGGCGTCCGTGGCTTAGGCGTTGCGAGGCCAACTCGTAACTGCAACAGACCGCAATCGAAACCAACTGCTGGCTGCATCGATTTTTATCATGGTATGGGGCGTCGCAGGTCAACCCAGCCTAAAGTAGGTACCAGGATGGTTGTCCTGGGGAAGTAAAGACGGCCGGCATGATGCTGACCACATTACCCAACTAGTGCCAATGGTCTGAAAAAATATGGGACGCTCTTCTCATATCAGATACCCCTAAAGGCATGAAAAGGGATCTTTACTTTTACTAAAGCAGATGACAAAATGATGTTAAATATGCGATACTTACCTGGACTGAAGTCAGTGCTTGGAACAAATACAACTACACTACAGTTGTTTTTTTATGGGAGGCGGTAGCAACCTCATGTCAACTGTTGACATTAATTTTAGACAAGCCCAGTAATAGAAACTTTTCTGCACAAATGTTGTTATGCCTTAGTGTGTCTTACCTCAACATGATGCGTCCAACCAGCTCTTTGCCTTGCACAAGATTATTAATAAACATATTTGCCTAGAGAAGGAAAACACAAGCATAAGAATAGAATAAACTTAAGAACCGTATCAAAATGCTCAATAAAACAATGAGGTATCATTACTTCTTTTTCCAAGTGTGTATCGCTTCCCCTTAAGTGAAATACTCTAGCTATAGTAAACTTGAGAGAGAATTGTAATGGAGAGTGTTTGGGTTCTGATAGGTCTATTAAAAACATGGTGCTAGATTGGTCAACCCATTCATTCAACATATTTTAGCCGTTTCACACTCTTTAAACCCCTTATGATAAAACTTATGACTGCTTACACATATTCCTTCACTCATTCCTCATTTTCATTCTGTTCATTACCACTCTCTCACAATATCTTTTGACAACGGCAACGAAACTAATGCTGCCTTTCTCTTCCTTTATGAGATGGGGACTTTAACCAGACTAGAACAACACAGGATACAAGGAAATACAAACAGAGAAATACCTCAACTGTCCATTCCACATCATCGTCCATGGGCTTCACACAGCACAGGTAAGCCTCTACTGCCTGACCAATCAAATGACAATGTCAAGCATGTTAAGGTCACAGTGCAAGTACCAGACTAAAATGACCACATATAATAAAAAGGTCATAGTTCAAGGCTGAAAAATCTTTATCAGAAAATAAAATAAAACCACTAACCTGAATGCTGAATTAACAATCGACATCATAACACTCAGGACACTCCCATAAGCGCTCCGTCCCCATCTTTTAAACCACTAACTTATAACTTAAAATCCCTAACTAATGCTCCCCCCCCCCCTACCACTGTTGCAAAGTAATTTCCATCTTCATCCTCAATGCTCTCCATGTGGGCTCTGGGGCCACATTTGAGGAGGGGGTCTGCACATAAATAAGTTAGACCTGTAAAACAGATGTGCATGCAACACCCAAGTCCTAGAACTGTCATCTTCTTTACGTTCACTGACCGTAAACTACAGCAGGAAGTTCTGCTTGTTTGTCCATTTCTGGACTAATCCTGTTCCAGAATCTGAGTGTTATGTGCACATACATTTGACAGATCCCACTCATCTGTATGCAGACTGTTGGTTCCTTGCCTCTCAAGCAGATGCACTCTGACTTCAAATGAAGCTCCCAAATAGCTTGTTGGGCAGGCAGTGGGTCTACTCTTGTTTTTCCTACAATGGGGCCCTGGATCCCACGCAGAGAAAGTCCTGGAACAAGACCAAAGTCCAGAAGTGGATGAACAACCAGGACTCTGTGCTGAGTTTACAGCCAGTAAACACAAAGAAGAAGAAATATGCAGTGTTCAATTATGACCTGATTACATCCCAAAATGACTCATTACAGATGTGAAGTTCAGTGCAGGTCTTGCACTAACTGCTGGATTCTGAAACTGGAGAGAGAATGCAGAGTTCTGCAACACTGTCCCAGAGGAGATAGCACTTTGGTACCACACTAGCAGAGAAATCTTTGGCTACAACAACTAGAATGCCAGAGCTTTAGACTTAAGAGTTAACAATCTTCCCCTTCTTTGTTCACCGGCTGTAAGCTCCGGTGGAAAGTCCAGGTTGTTCATCCATCTGGAACTGTGCCAGGGCTGGAACTGTGCACCTGCATCCATCTTGCTGCATCCGGCAGATGCACCCCGAGTTCGAAGGAAGTGCCCATATAGTCGACTCTTTACAACATGCTTGTTGGGAAGGCAGTGGGTCTATTCAAAACAGGGCCCCAGAACCCGCATGAGGAAGTTAACAATCAATCTTTTGAAAGTTAAATCAAACAACCTACCAAAATAAATAAACCTTAACTCTATTCCAAAACTTACCCAAAAAAAAGAAACAAAACTAAAGAACGCAAGAAAGTAAACAAACTGTCACAGTTGATTGTGTACCTGATACGGAATTTGAGCTAGAGTCTGGGGCAGCTTCAAAAGCTGGCCAATGGTAGCAGTCTTGAGCTGACCTGCATCCACTAGCCACAGACGATACTCTGCTGCTGCTGCAGCAATGGACTTCTTGCTCACTGTCACAACTTTAGCCCTGGGGACAGAGTTCATAGACTATAGACTTGGGCCACACAACAGAACAGCTATAGGGTACGATGTCAAAGGTGAGTATAGAACAGAACAGTTATGTGGTATGTGGTCAGAGGTGAGGATGGAACCAGAACAAAACAGGTATGTGGTATGGGACTCAGGGGTGAGTACAGATGCTAGAATGGGTCCATGGTGGCTGTGAGGTTCATGATGACAATAATGATGTTGACAACCGATACTGTTGACATAGCTGATGCCGACATCAGTGATGTTGATGATGATGAATTCTTCTTCTTCTGCTTCTTTTTCCTGTTCACCTGTTGCAACCTACAGGGGAAAGTTCTGGTTGTTCATCCACCTCTGGACTTTTAGTCTTGTTCCAGAACCTGAGTGTTGTGTGCACATCCATTTTAAAGATTTGTTGTATACAGACTGTTGGTTCCCTGCCTCCCAGGTAGATGCACTCTGACTTCAAAGGAACCCCACAGTTAGTTGACTCTTATGACATGCTTGTTGGGGAGACAGTGGGTCTATTCATATTTTCCCCACAAGGAAGCCTAGGTGGGGAAGCCAATTATGACGATAATGGCGTTATAATGACGATGCTAATGACGATGACACTCACGGGACAACAGTAACAGCCACAAATGACACAAAACATCGTAGTTACCTGTGGTAGATGCCATCACTATCCCGGAAGGCACAAACACTATCCAAAACTGCAAGAGAGGATGCATGTTTGAATAAAACATGGGTGTGTATATATGAATATATGTATGTATTTATGTGTGTGTTATATCTATTTGGGTATGAATTGTGTGCCCAATTTGTGACCTTTTGAAAAAAAAGTGTGTTTGCTCACTCTTTCCTGTGCTTAAGCAAAACCAAGTTGTTGAAGAGTTAAACAATAAGATATCATCATCATCGTGTGCCATGTCGATAAGCACCAGTAGCCATGGGTTACCGTCTCCCACAATCACTGAAATCACAGAAGAGGTCTGTGTTTTTGTCTCCTCCAATGACATGTGCCCAAGTCCTCCTGATATTTATTTTTATCTTTTACTAACTACCTTTCTAATCAAACAACCTTGTTTTTTTTTTTTTTATCACACTTGTGATAACATCAGATGGAAGATGCATAACTGAGATAAGAAACAGAATAGGACAGGCAAAAACTGCATTTTATAAAATGAAGAATATCTTTTGCAATATATCCTTGTCATTGAGTTAGAAAAAGAATTCTTGCTTGCTACATACATTCAGTTTTAACATATGGCTGTGAATTCTGGACAATCGGTAGGCAGGCCAAACAATTTCTTGGGGCCTCAGAGATGTGGTTTTACAGAAGAATGCTTAGAATACCTTGGACAGCCAAATAGAGCAACCAAGAGGTTTTGAAAGAGGCGGGAGACCGAAGACAACTTATCACAGATGTGACACAGTTGTATCTTTCACATCCCCCAAGAATGGATGTGCCTAATTCGGAACTTGTGTGTTATGGATACAATTTGTAGCTCTCTTGATTGTACTTAACAACACGGCCAGTGATGTAACAAACTATTACAGATCTGGTTGTTTATTTCCACAATTTTGTCAAGTCAAACAGTATGAATCATTTCATTAACCAATAGTATAGGAACTTCATTATCTTATTACTGGCTATTCATATGTCTCTCTATGAGTTCCTTAATCACTCTTCTAGCTAAACTCAAAGTTTAATATTTCTTGCGAAGTTCTTGTCAGCTGCCCCCCAAGCGTCTCGACGCCGACTGCCTTGTCTCCTCCTCGCTCCTCTCCTCTTCACCCCCGCTTCCTCTCTCTTCCCAGCATGGGTTCTCAATCACCCCCTGTCACCCGTCTCCGGTGGTCACGTTTGGATAAACGTACTCTAGTCAACCCTGGTCACAGTGCACCTGGTTTATCTGTTTCGCTTTGTCTGACCAGCATTCTAGTCACCGTTTTCTGTCATGTCACCCCTTTGATGGATTGGCATGCCTTGATGATAGTCTGAATGTATGCATTCTTCATTTAACCCCTTCCTAACTCTATTTCATTACACAGACATCAGAAGGAGACAGTCATCATTTTTCGGCCATGTTATGAGAAGAGGGAAAATAGAATCTGTTGTGACCATTGGGAAGATCTGTGGAAGTAGGGTTAGAGGAAGACAACAAGAGAAGATTCTTGACAGTCTTGTTGCATGGCATGGAAGTGTTTTGGCACACGAACTGATACATGCTGCAGGAGATCGTGGATTATGGAGAGGCATGATCGCCCCCACCAGTCGGCAAGGGACCTGATGATGATGATGATGTATTATATTTCTAATGACTCTCTCTTATTAATTATGCCCATACAACTTCTAGTACCACGTTTACAATTACTCTGTGAAGAAGCTAAAGAATAATAATAAACCAACACAGTGATGGTGCAGTCAGCCACCGCACACAGGGGGATATAGTCAAGAGGGAATCCCAGCATACAGTTCAATGTGAAAGTTTTCTTCTTCACCTGTAATCTCTGGCATAATGTTCTGGCTGTTTGTCCACTTCTGGACTTTAGTCTTGTCCCAGAACCTACATTCATTTTACAGATCTGGCTTATTTGTATGCAGACTGCTGGTTCCTCGCCTCTCAGGCAGATGCACTCCAATTGTGAAGGAAACTCCCCTCAGCTGTCTCAGTTAAAACCCTTATGATCAAACAGATAGGAAACAGGACTGAGGAAATGAGGACATCCTAGAGAAACCCTTACATGAATGTTGATGAGAGAGGCCAAAGCTGCTGAACTGGATTCCATCCATGATATCAAGTGACTGCACAAGGAATGGAGGAATAGACTGTGAGCCAGCCCTCTTTAACGAATAATGGCACAACAGGACAATAAATAAAATCTGATCCGGTGTGGACACAGCAGGATATGGATTGATTAGCGGTAGAGGTCAAACTACTGACCTGTTTACTCACCTGGCAAACGGCTTCCAAACAATCAACAATGATACCTACAGCAACACTTACAAGGATCTTCACTGGGGATATATGGAACAATGACACCTACAGCAACACTTACAAGGATCTTCACTGGGGATATATGGAACATGGTTGCTCTCTTTGCTGAAGAATGTGACCATCTCCATGACCAGCCGTTGGTACTGAAACCTTAAATCAGTTCTGACATTATCTGGGACAGATCGATGCTCCAGCAGATGGCAGTAATATCGGCTGGCATTTTCCACGTATATGACCTTGATCTAGGCGAAACAGATGAGAATAAATAACTGAGCAGCTGAGTTGAGTTCAGAAATGACATCACAGGAATATGGAAATTCGCCTAAGTACTTCATCTCCTTCTTTAACAGCTATTGCAGAAAGTTAAGACTCTTCAAGAATAGGAGGCCATTTTCTCAACTTTAATTCATGTTCTGATCAGTCGTAAATGAGGTTAAACACTAAACATAAATAATATTTGAATTCAGTTGAATGGTATCGATTACAAAGGATAATGTACACATCCAGTAATGAATAACTCAAGACAAGCGTGCAAGTTGGCTGAAAATGTGCCAGATGAGAAAATGCATAAATCGTGTGTGAAAGGTTATTTTAAAACTAGAAACGAACGAGAAGAGTGAGTCTTGTTTTTAATGCTGAGAAAGCTGGGTCGTATAGTGCTTGAAGAAAGAGAAATGAATAAATCTTCAGAGAACGTGAGTGTTAGATCAAGCAGTCGACCTGAGTAAAAAAAACCTGACTATCCAGTTCCATACATTGGGCCAAGCTGGCGTCTGCTGCGAGAAAGAGTGTTTTTGCTCAATTGTACGTTTGATAGCCGCTGAAGTGTCTACGCTTGGAAGTGCTGTGTTTGGTCACCCTGTGAAGGTAACACTGATGCTATTGTATGTGGCCAATCTGGTCATCCCTAGACATTTTTACCCCTGAAGTGTCTACGCTTGGAAGTGCTGTGTTTGGTCACCCTGTGAAGGTAACACTGATGCTGTTGTATGTGGCCAATCTGGTCATCCCTAGACATTTTTACCTCTGAAGTGTCTATGCTTGAAAGTGCTGTGTTTGGTCACCCTGTGAAGGTAACACTGATGCTGTTGTATGTGGCCAATCAGTTCATCCCTAGACATTTATTTGTAGGAAACAGTTGTTGGAACCAGTAAACATTTGGTTTCTGATCAGATGTGTGGTGTTTCCAATGTTCCTGTGCCTAAGAGGCTGCATGCAACTAGAGCCAAGGAGAGTCATTGCAAGTAGGATAAAACATTCACAAGAGATGGACAGTATACTAGTTATTTTCAAGCATTCATGACGGAAGTACAGTCTCAGGATCTGATAATCCTCTAACCCGTGCTGGGAGGTCAGTCATGGGGGATTTAACAGCAGGGGCTAATATTTCCAAGCACTTATGATGTAAGGTTTATAGGAGGCAAACTGCAGGGGTATGGGAGCTATTTCCAAGCATTCGAGATGGGAGGACATTAAATGTTAACTTTTTTAACACTTTCAGCCCCAAGCAATGCACCATGTGTGATTAGCCTCTGCCCATGTGTACGAAGCAATCAACAGTGTGATCTGATGTTAAGCCTAAGCATACTACAGAAACCTGGCTAGTTATTTTAATGCGCCAACTAGGCACATGTGTTGCTACAGTCAGGCTGTCACTTGTTACATCCACTGTAACTATTGTTACCTTTGGAAATATTGTTACATCCACTGTAACTATTGTTACCTTTGGAAATATCGTTACATCCACTGTAACTATTGTTACCTTTGGAAATATCGTTACATTCACTGTAACTATTGTTACCTTTGGAAATATTGTTACATCCACTGTAGCTATTGTTACCTTTGGAAATATCGTTACATCCACTGTAACTATTGTTAGCTTTGGAAATATCGTTACATCCACTGTAACTATTGTTACCTTTGGAAATATTGTTACATCCACTGTAACTATTGTTACCTTTGGAAATATCGTTACATCCACTGTAACTATTGTTAACTTTGGAAATATCGTTACATCCACTGTAACTATTGTTACCTTTGGAAATATCCTGCAAACTATTCTGGTACTTAAAGAGTTTAATGAAGTATTTTGTTAACCCAAACTATTTTTGCTGTTGTTCTTCATCACGTTAATTTCCAATGTTTTCCTGATATTTTCATTCAGTATTTTCCATTATGATAATTTCCACTTCCATATTTTCCCAGATGGTAATTTCAGTTTGAATATATTATGCTATCACAATCAACATAAATTTAATACATAATGTAATTCCAACAAAAATTAAATATTTTCCTTATTTCCATTAAATGTTTTCCTTGACAGTAATTTCCATTAAATGTTTTCCTTAACAGTAATTTTCATTAAATGTTTCCCTGATGGTAACTTCCATTAAAAAACTTACAAAAAGCAGTCTGAGATTATGTGATTTCAACTGACCTTGACTTCTCCTGATGTGGGCAAGGTACTACAAGCTGTGTCACCTGTTTTCAGATCCCGGCTAGGAATCATCAAATGTCGATGGTCACATTTATTCTGGACACTATATGCCAGTGGAGACAGGAAAAACAAAAACAACTGTTGGAGGATATTAACGCTGATAGAAAAGATCTCAGAATAATAAAAAAAATATTTACTGGAAGCAAGAAGCAGCAATTAAATTGTGAAATAAACTAGGCAGTTATGAACAGATAAAGTAAGGAGTAAGACAAGGATGTGTTTGTCACCGGATCTCTTCTCTCTCTCTATAGTGAAACAATAATGAAGGAAGTCACCACTGGCTGGAGGTTATAACATAAATAATCTTCCTTATGCAGATGATAAAGAATTAATAGCTGAAAACATAGAAGGCCTACAACAAACTATTAGACATTGTTCTACTAGAGTGTGCAAAAAAGGGACTCTTCTTGAATATAAAGAAAATAGAAACAATGGTTATACCAAAGAAGAAGAAAATTACCAAATGTCACATAGCAATAGGAGGGAAAGGGCTTAACCAAGTCAATAAATTCAAGTATTTGGGAACATTCATAACATCAGATGGACGATGTGTGACAGAATTAAGAAGCAGAATTGTCCAGGCAAAGGCAGTTTTCAGAAGATGAAAAGTATCTTATGTAATAAATCACTCTCATTAAACATCAGAAAACGAGTACTGAAATGTGAAATGGAGCCTGTTCTGTTGTATGGCTGTGAATCTTGGAATGTGAGCAAACAAATTAAGAAGAGTTTGGAGGCAACAGAGATGTTGTTGTTCATGAGAAGAATGTTGAGAAAACTTTTGGACTGTCAGAATAACCAACATTGAATGCCTGGAAATGGCTAATTAATTATATACAACAATGAGAAGACAAACAAAGTTCTTTGGTCATATAACGAGAACAGAAGCACTGGAAAATATCGACTAGTATCGGCAGACAAAGAGAAATGAAGGGTGATGGCTTAAGACAGTGGCATGGAAGAACATTATCAGTAGAATTGATCAAGAACACCAAAGACCGAGATCTGTGGCGACGCATGAATGCCTACGCCAGCTGGCAAGGTACTTGATGATGATGATGATGATACTACATGGGAGTACGGAGAGGAAAAACATAAATTAAAGATCAGATGTAGCATTTATCGCCTTGACTTATATTCTAGCATACTCATACACACACACACACACACAATTTTTTTTTTAAATTTGTAATTAAAAAAATTTAAACAAAAAAAGTCAAGGACCCTTTTCCGTGCCGCCAGGCGAATAAGGCTAGACATATAGTTTACAGACCAATGGGCACTCAGTGGGTGATGTGGTCAGCATCATGCCAGCCGCCTTTACTTTCCAGGACTTTACCTGGCACACACTTAAGGCTGGGTCAACATGGCAGCCAAGGTCAGTTTTGTTTTCTAAGTCCAGCTCTATGAGGACCTGAACCCACATACGTAGGTGAGTGACTAGCTGCTGCACCACAGAGGCTCTCAATCCAACACATACACGTGTTCATGCTTGAATGCATCCATTTATGTACTTATCTGTGCCTTACAGAAACAGCTTACATACTGATGCATGATCACACCCATTCACATGCACACACAAACCTACTCACATGCATACACACACACCCACACACATGCATACACACAACCACACACCTACTCACATGCATACACACACCCACTCACATGCATACACACCCACTCACATGCATACACACACCCACACACCTACTCACATGCATACACACACCCACTCACATGCATACACACCCACTCACATGCATACACCCACCCACACACATGCATACACACACCCACACATGCATACACACAACCACACACACCCACTCACATGCATACACCCACCCACTCACATGCATACACACACCCACACACCTACTCACATGCATACACACACCGATACATCTACTCACATGCATACACACACCCACACACCTACTCACATGCATACACCCACCCACTCACATGCATACACACACCCACACACCTACTCACATGCATACACCCACCCACTCACATGCATACACACACCCACACACCTACTCACATGCATACACACACCCACTCACCTACTCACATGCATACACACACCGATACATCTACTCACATGCATACATACACCCATACTGCCTTCATCTGCCAGTGAGACAGATCACAGGAGGTCAGATCCTGAAGGTCAACAGTGGTGGGTAAGTATACAACCGCTATGCCTGTGATACTCTTGGCATTAACAAAACATGCCAGATTGTCTGCTACTCACTTGCATACTCCAAACGATTTCAAGAATGGGCACAGATCTTTCCGTTCACTGTTTTCCTTGGCCTGAAGATAAGAATTCATCTATCAAGAATTAAACACGCCACACGTAATTGAATTGCCAAAAAGGAAAAGTTATAATTAATAATCTTCTTCTTCTTCGCGTTCACTGGCTGTAAACCCCGGCAGAAAGTTCTGGTTGTTTGTCCACTTCTGGACTGCAGTCCTTCTATTTAGAATCTGAGTGTTGCGTGTGACAGATCTGACTAATGTGTATGCAGACTGTTGGTTTCTTGCCTCTCAGGCCGATGCACTCCAACTTCCAAGGAAGCTCCCAATTAGTCGACTCTTATGACATGCTTTTGGGTAGGCAGTGGGTCTATTCTCGTTTTCCCTATACTAGGGCCCCGGAACCCACACGGGGAATAATAAATAATAAATCAATATTCATGATGTGTCTATGGTCGAGATGGCCAGAAGAGCCAAAAACAGAACCTTCTATCTCCCTCAATACCCCAAGTGCTAGAAGAGGAAGAGAAGAATTTGAAATATTCTTTACCATCATGTAGAGAGTCATTCGCAGAAGGTCACAAGGGCCCTCACCTCAAGGATCACTGGAAAGACCCTTGACCCCTGGTGAAACTGCCATGTAAGCGGTGTCCTTATTTCCTACATCCTTCCCCCTACTAGTCAACTAATGCCTCTCCTTTCTGTAACCATAACCCCTCATTACTGTTCTATCTGAGCCATTATAATTTTTAATATCAGTATTTCAGTTTTCTGGTCAATCAGAGTTACGGCAGTGAAAACTGGTCAATCAGTGTTACGGCAGTGAAAACTGGTCAATCAGTGTTACCGCAGTGAAAACTAGTCAACTTATTCACACTAAGAGAAACGGCTGAACAGCTTTTATGTGCAATGTCTAAGAAGAATACTTGGCATTAAGTGTCATGATGAGATAACAAACAGTGAGGTACCTAAAACAGCAGATACTACATCAGTTTTCCCACTGCTCAGTCTCCCAAAGCTTAGGTAGCTGGATTCACATAGAAAAAATGGAGGATGGTAGTAGAGCCCCTAATGACATCCTCTATGATGGGTAAAAGATGCCGAGGAGGGTTTCTGCTATGATATAAAGATGTGTACAAGTGGGACATGAATGATACAGACAGTGAGGTAGATTCATGGAAACACAATTCAACAGACCGTGTTGTGAGGATGAGGCAAAGCAGGAAGAGCATGAGAATGAAGGAAGAAACGACTGCAGAAAGGATAATAGCTAAGCATCTGAGAAGAAACATACTAAATTCATGTTATGGCAACAACTGTCCTCAAATCCCATGCATTAATTGTGGAAGACTTTTTGTAATGCGTCTTGTTATTACTCACACTGCCACTGGCTGCGAGTCCCATGTCTCCTCATAGCACAATATAACTAACACTATTGTCTGGAAAGATGGCAACAATTTCAATTTATCAATATAATAATACAAAATCCTACCATCCTGTAACCGGCCAGATACTGCTCCAGCTGGGGTGAGTATTCAGCCTGACATCGCTGGAGTAATTCATACAGACTCTGAGCTCGTTCCACACATTTGTTGGTCAGTATCACTTGGGACACCGGTTCAACCTCAGGCTGTGAAGACAGAAAATGACCAGCACGCTAAATATGTGAATATCTTATCTGTAGAGGAAAAAAATTACAGGAAGGCAAGGTTCTGAGAGGTGAAGAGGAAGAATTTATGGGTAATTTGATAGAAAAGCAGAGAGATAGGGTTTTGAGAGAAAAGGAGGAAGAAATGCATGTTTTAGAGGAAAAGGAGGAGACAGGATTCTGAGACAAGAGGAGCTGAGGGTTTTAAGAGAAAAGGAGGGAGATAGGGTTTTGACAGAAACAGAAGAGGGTGGGGCACTCGGGACACTCCCATAGGTGCTCCATCCTCATCTTCAGCAGCAAGCACAGAGTTCCATTCTGACGGCCCCAGTAACAGTCTGATTGTACATCCATATCACCTTTCCTTTGAGTGTTGAGCATCGGCCAGATCCCTGGTAACCTCTGGCAGTACCATTCTCTTTATACCATCATGATCTACCTGAGCCTCCACACTGTTCACTCCCTCCCCAGGGGCCCTAACAACATCCAGCTTGTCATACATCAGTTCACCAACAACCAAGCGGATCAGAACCAGTCAGGTGGTGCAGAACCAGCCAGTCAATCTGATGACTTTTGACAACCTCCAATCTGGCAAGGAATTTAGTGCTATGGTTTTGCGCAGTGCCCAAATGGTTTTATTTCATTTTCTTCTTGACAAACACCTGTACAAGTTGTACATGAATGCTAACACAGACAGCTTATATTGTGTATTTATGTATCTCATCTTATTATAAGACAGTGTGACATTCATTATTTGCATGGAAAATGACATGCTTCATTAAACATTGAATCCTCCACAGTAAAAAGCTTTGCATAACATTTAAAAAAGTCGTCTCAGAATGAGCCCCCTGTGCTGGATAAACTTTCAAAAAGCACCACATGTGGGATGCACCAACATTTCAGAAATGGGCCCTACAAAAAAAAGCCTTGACTAAAACCAAGATGGATTCACAAGCTCTTTATATTCTGTATTTGTTTGTGCAGCTGGCACAAAGTATATCTAGAATTGCAAAACATACATATTCTTCTTGCTCTTCGTGTTAACCTGCTGTAAACTCTGGTGGAAAGTTCTGGTTGTTCATCCACTTCTGGACTTTGGACTTGTTCCAGAACCTGAGCTTTGTGTGCACATCCATTTCACAGATTGGCTTATTTTTATGCAGACTACTGGTTCCTCGCCTTAGGCAGATGCACTGCAACTTCGGAGGAAACCCATAATTTGTCGACTATGGCAATTTGCTTTGTAGTGAGGCAGTTGCTCTACTCTCCCCCTCCCCCTCCCCCTCCCCCTCCCCCTCCCTTCTATAACAGGGCCCTGGAACCTAAACAGGGAACACACACATTAACAATAGTATTGTTTTGTGGTATACAGCTAGGCTGCAATATCAGCACCTTTCAGCCCATCACACTGGTTTCAACAAGCTCTTTATTATTCACTTTTACAGTATGCTTTTTCAAGAACAGTACCCCCCCCCCCCCTCCCTTTTCCAAGTGGGATCCAAGAACCCACCATGGAGAAACCAGTTTTCAATACATAAAGTTCCATCCTACTGAATCATGCATGTGAAACTCCAAAACCTCTACCAGAACACTGACAATCATTTACACACACTCTTCAACAAAAACAAAGTGTTTCATCTCATGCACATTTGTGGTTTATCTTCCTTACTTTTGTGGACGAGGTCCTGTCCAAGAAGTAGTCCAGCATACAGGCAAGTCGGTTTCCGAATTTAGTTTTTGAGTCTGGCAACCCATAGTGGACAACCATGGTTGCATTTGTGATGGCCAGGTCCTGGTAGCATTGGTCAGTGCAAACTGCAACAACAACAAATTGCAAAATGCAATAAAATAAAAACAGACATACAAGACGTCTTTGAGAATTAACTGCCAACTGTATTTTTCAACAGATTTGAGACCAAAGCTTGCATCTGCGTGATTAACAGCTGCTTATTTAATTATTTAATGTATTTACCTGAAAGGAGAAAATAACAATTTAATCACTGTCACAGTGTTTTAAAGGCTGTTTAATAGCAAACAGATCAACATTGTTATCTCATATATCTCAATTTAAACACTGCCATAATGTTTTAAAGCTGTTTAACAGCAAACAGATCGACTTTGTTACCTCATATATTTCAATTTAATCATTGTCACAATGTTTTGAAGGCTGTTTGAAAGCAAACAAATCAACAATGTTATCGATATATCTCAATTTAATCACTGTCACAATGTTTTAAGGCTGATTAAAAGCAAACAGATCAACATTGTTATCTCATATATCTCAATTTAAACACTGCCATAATGTTTTAAAGCTGTTTAACAGCAAACAGATCGACTTTGTTATCTCAGCCTCTCTCAGCAGAACATCTGGTTGCCCATGAGAGCACTGTACAGATCAGGGCTGTTCAACAGTTTACTCAGGGGTCAAACAGCTGAAAATGGGGATCATCATAGGCCAGAGCCCTAAGCCCGATCATAAAAAGCTCATTAGCACAAACCAAATTGGCAATAATATGCGGGCCACTTGCTAGGCCTCTGTGGGTCAGATTAGGCCGGTGGGCCACTTGCTAAGCCTCTGTGGGTCAGATTAGGCTGTGGGCCACATGCTAGGCATCTGAGGGTCAGATTTGGCCGGTGGGCCACTTGCTAAGCCTCTGTGGGTCAAATTAGGCTATGGGCGACTTGCTAGGCCTCTGAGGGTCAGATTAGGCCAGTGGGCCACTTGCTAAGCCTCTGAGGGTCAGATTAGGCCGGGAGCCACTTACTAGGCCTCTGTGAATCAGATTAGGCAGGTGGGCCACTTACTAAGCCTCTGTGAATCAGATTAGGCAGGTGGGCCCCTTGCTAGGCCTCTGTGAATCAGATTAGGCAGGTGGGCCACTTGCTAGGCCTCTCTAGATCAGATTAAGCAGGTGGGGCACTTACTAGGCCTCTGTGAATCAGATTAGTCAGGTGGGCCACTTGCTAGGCCTCTCTGGATCAGATTACGCCAGTGGGCCACCTGCTAGGCCTCTCTGGATCAGATTAAGCAGGTAGGCCACTTGCTAGGCCTCTCTGGATCAGATTAGGCCAGTGGGCCACTTGCTAGGCCTCTGTAAATCAGATTAGGCAGGTGGGCCACTTGCTATCCCTCTCTGGATCAGATTAGGTCAGTGGCCACCAGCTGAATAGTCCTAGTATAGATGCACAAACGTTACAAAGCAATCAAATAAGAAATGTATCCCTTCATTTATAACTGTTATTAACATCAAATATGATATATATTCTATACTGTTCTCAAAACCAACAACAAGGCTATAGGGCATACAGGGTTAGACCTATATCAACAACAATGCACTGATCACTTACCCATCACCATCAGCTGTCGGGACTGGGAGGAGTGGATCCACTGGGTTCGAGCCTCTTCAATAACTTGTGATGGTAAATCTTCATGTATTAACAGGCAGTAGACTGATCTGGATTTGGCAGCCTGCAAAAATTATTTCAAGAGCGAGTGAGAGGAATGAAAGGAGGAGGGGGGTGAGAGAGTGAGTGAGCAGTACTGAAGTACTGCGCAAACACAGTCAGAGACAGGCAGCACAGTATGAGATTGACAGACTGAGGTATGTGAAGTAGAGACCACCCAGATTGAATCAACAGGCACAGGGTGTCCCATGACAGTGAATACAATAGAGGTGTGATGGGTTAACCCTGAGAAGACCAAATCAATTTACTTCCGGTTGTGACACACTCCTGTAAATGCCAACTTATCGGCACTTCTGCAGTGACCTGTTCTCACAAGAGTAGTGAAATTCCACTGATTCTACATGCAGCTGTGCTGTGTTAAGGAGGCATGGATATGAATATATCAACTATAAATAGCACTGGATGGGGAAAGGGGTGAGATGAGATGTCTGAGAATGGCTGTGAAAAAAACCAGAAGAGATCGAGTGAGAAATGACGTGATCACAAGAACTGATGGAATAACACCCATTGTCAAATTTATTGAGAAACAAAGTTTGAAATGGTTTGGCCATCTAATGAGAATGAAACCAACGATGCCAGCAGCAAGAGTGTACAACATGAAAACTAAAACACCAAGAGGCAGGGGAAGACCGAGAAGAAGATGGATTAAAGGAGTCACTGACACCTTGAGACTACATAACATCACGGCATATCAAGCAAGCAAGAGCGCCCTGGCTCGGTTGCCAATCATCTGATAAATTGACGCCTAGCGGCATAAGAAGATATTGACAAAACAAGAAAGACAAAGAAGGGGAGAGGAGGTTTTCCTTATAACACAAATGGCTTTCTTAAAGTCACACTGATGTCACATTTTCTCATTTATAAGCCTCACTGGCAGGTCATGGGTCAACTAAAATATTGTTTTTTTTTAGGCCCAGGATAAATATTCTATTTATTTTTTCAGTGTTAATGTTTACTGGTTACCTCCTTTTTATATCTTTAAATATTTTGAAAAAATTTAGATAAATAATTTTTGTTTAACTGTGTTAATGACCCATGAAAAATTGCCTTTTTAAGAATCTTTTTTCTGTAACTGGCACGGGTTAATGTCCTGTTTCTTTTAAAGCGTTCTCATGGTGAAAGGGTTAAGCCATCACATATTTTAGACCATGAAACAATGAGATGGATGGCAAGTTCCTTTTATCACCATTTTTCCTATCAAAAGAATTACCTAGAAATTCTAAACAATAATTCTGTACCCATTTTATTGAGTTTGTTGTATTATAGATATAGAAATGTGCAATGTTCAGAGAGAATAGAGAGAATAAAGAGAGAATAGAGAGTTAGTTAGTTAGTTAGTTGGGTTATCCTCATTGCACTCCGGACATGTCCATAGGTGCTCAGATCCTCCCCTCAGTATGAACCCCAACGTCCGATGGCTAATAGTACCAGTTCTATGTTGATTAACAAGTCTTCTGGCATAGCTGGTGTGCACCTCGTTTTTTGCTGTGCCGATCTTAATTCCCAAGTCTGCCATT